GCCACTTATTGATCGGGTGAGACTGTTTTGGTGATGTATTAACTTCACGGGAGGTAGACGACCATCCTTCACACGGACGAAAGAGGGAGTGCTCAAAGAGCGGCTCCCACAGCAAGGGGGGGCCCCGTGAATCATCGCGGTGCCCCCTATCAAACGGTTTTCTTACCAGTCTGCGTGACACTAACTAAATCATCCAGCACATGTATCCAACAGCAATGTTCGCAGACTCACGAACAGGACCTCCACTTTCAACGTACTAAAACCCGTCAAATTCCAATGCAACGCATCACCACCCACACGGGAACTGGACGCCGAACAAATCGGACCTCAAAGTTTTACTTGAAGTACAGTGTTGCCGAGATGCAAGAAAATAACTGCACGAGACGGTCAGAGATAGATGTGTGGCACCTGCGGCAACACGTCCTGACCTTGCTTGACCCGATGCCTGCTGCTTACAATCCGGCGTCTGCAAACCGCAGTAAGCAAAGGGGGAAGAAGAAACTATTGTAACTACTTCGTTTTCCGCGAGATTCGCCTGGTGACCCCGGTAGGGAGCATGTCACATTTATTTACAAGTAACGTGCGTTCGATTTCTTGTCGATACCATTGCCGGAGCATGTGTTCAAAGAGGTACTACTGCTGTATGTTGGAACCCCACAAAGCGAGAACAGGTATGTAGCGCTGGCCAGCGACACAACTTTCAAGCCCCCTCTTTCAGTCTCGGGACTATATTATGTGCTTCCTTCGATACGAACCAGATCAAGGTCAATATCCTCGTATTCTGGGGGCATGGGTTGAAAAGAGAAACACTTGTGGTACCAGACTCCAGAACAGGCTACATTCCTCCATGGAAGGTCGCGCGAAAGACTGGCGGACATGATCTGAGTGCGTACGTGCGTGCTGGAAGTTCCCCCGCCCCCAGCCCCCTCCGCGTACGCGAAAAGATATGCACGAGGAGGGTAGGTCGCATTTCTGCGTGCCCCCCGACAGTCCCGCCAAGGATGGAACGCAACGCGGGCAACGGGGCAACGGCGCAGTAGTGCACACTCGCTAGACCCCAAGAATGGCATGAAACGAAGAGAGCTGCAAACGGACGACCCCATTCCTCCTCTACATTCTTCCACGCCTCGCGTAGTGCTTCACATCGATCTTGACGCGTTCTTCGTACAGGTGGAACGAAGCCTGAACCCTACCCTGGTTGGTGAGCTTCTCCTCCGTGCCAATTCAAATTCGTGGAGTCCAACTGCCGATGCAACGTATCCAACCGCCGATGCAACGTATGCTGAGCTCTTCGTAAGTCCTTCGGCGTTTTCTTGAAACGTGACTGGTTTCGTCGCTCGGTACTCGATACATTTTCGTAACAAGCTGCGCGAGAGTTTTTTTTACCTTCATGGATCAACTGCTGCGCGGATTCGCATCTCGAGCCCCCGTACATCGTCTACAGGATAGATCTACAGCAGTACTCCACGTGTACTGTTTTTCTCCAGATAAGAGTGTGTGAGGACCAATTGCCAAGGTGTGCAGGGGCACACTCTGCTCAATCTGTTCGTCTGTCATTCATGGTGTCAGGCTCACCGCTGCCCCATCGGTGCCTATTCCGTTCAGGTAAGCCGATGGTCGTCCAGCAGCACGCCGACATTATCGCCGTGAGCTATGAGGCTAGGGCGCTGGGCGTAAGGAAGCACATGCCGACCGCAACGATCCGAAGGGAGCACCCATCTGTCAAGCTTGTGCACGTGGAGGTATTGTTAGACATTTCGAGTGGTTTAGACGGCCCAGTTGACGCACCACCCTTTGCACGAGAAGCATTTTGCGCGTCTGATGTGACAGCATTTTGCAGCACTAGTTAGGGGTGTCAAAGCGGCGGAATTTGGGGCCAAAAAAACGTTCGGTCCATTGGTCCATTCGGCAATATTTGAGGGGGGCACGCGGATTTGGTTCTTTTTTTGGTTCTTGAGAATCCCGCTGTTAATACTGAATAAACTATACATCAAGTCAATTTGTATTTTTTTTTTTGGTTCTTGAGAATCCCGCTGTTAATACTGAATAAACTATACATCAAGTCAATTTGTATTTTTTTTTTTGGTTCTTGAGAATCCCGCTGTTAATACTGAATAAACTATACATCAAGTCAATTTGTATTTTTTTTTTTGGTTCTTGAGAATCCCGCTGTTAATACTGAATAAACTATACATCAAGTCAATTTGTATTTTTTTTTTTGGTTCTTGAGAATCCCGCTGTTAATACTGAATAAACTATACATCAAGTCAATTTGTATTTTTTTTTTTGGTTCTTGAGAATCCCGCTGTTAATACTGAATAAACTATACATCAAGTCAATTTGTATTTTTTTTTTTGGTTCTTGAGAATCCCGCTGTTAATACTGAATAAACTATACATCAAGTCAATTTGTATTTTTTTTTTTGGTTCTTGAGAATCCCGCTGTTAATACTGAATAAACTATACATCAAGTCAATTTGTATTTTTTTTTTTGGTTCTTGAGAATCCCGCTGTTAATACTGAATAAACTATACATCAAGTCAATTTGTATGTGCACGCAGCTCTGCGTCCAGACAGCAGCATGGCTGTTCATGCGTTACACACACTTGGACACAGGTCCAACAGAGGTGACTGCAAACTCGGTTTTTACTTAAGTTTAAAGGGCGGACAAACAACACAGAAAAACAGGGTTATTTCAGCTGTTTTGCCCACGCCCAAGGCGACCTTTGCTCCTCTCGTGAAAGCGAGATTGCAGTCCTCTACCTTGGGCTTACACCTATACAGCACAACAGACCGCGCCCGAATCGCGTCAGCCAACCCCGAGATGTGCATGTCCGAAAACGGCCCTTCAAGCGGGTCTGCGGCGCCCACCGCGGACCCTCCCCCCCCCAAAAAACGAAGGTCCATGACGTTCGGTGGCGGCAGGCGCGCTGCGCTGAATCTAAATAAAAACAAAGCGAAGTTTGAAGAGAGGACGGGGAAGTCTGTGGCTGAGGCGGCACCAGCAGACAACACCCGGCGGTATCGAGCGCGGCAGCATCACCACCGCGCAGAAAGCGCTGGAAAGAACGAAGGAGGAGCTGGCCGAAAGTAGGNCCCCCCAAAAAACGAAGGTCCATGACGTTCGGTGGCGGCAGGCGCGCTGCGCTGAATCTAAATAAAAACAAAGCGAAGTTTGAAGAGAGGACGGGGAAGTCTGTGGCTGAGGCGGCACCAGCAGACAACACCCGGCGGTATCGAGCGCGGCAGCATCACCACCGCGCAGAAAGCGCTGGAAAGAACGAAGGAGGAGCTGGCCGAAAGTAGGATAGGAAAAGTGAGGAAGAGAGCAAGGCTGGTTGCAGCATGGCTCTGGAGTTTTCGCGGGATAAAGACGAGGAGCTCAAGTTGGAGCGGGCACGGAGACAGCAGGCCGAGCAGGAGAAACAGCAGGCCCAGCAGGAGAAAAAGCAGGCCCAGCAGGAGAAACAGCAGGCCCAGCAGGAGAAACAAGCGATTGGGCGAGAGCAGGAGTCGGCGATGGCGGGACAGCGCCAGGCGGAAGAGAGAACCCGTTGAATAATCAGAGCACACACACGAGCGGCGCCCTCACGCGTGTGCATCAGAGGGTCTTTTCGGGAGGTCCCGACGGTTCCGTGCAATTTCATTGGTNCAGCAGGAGAAAAAGCAGGCCCAGCAGGAGAAACAGCAGGCCCAGCAGGAGAAACAAGCGATTGGGCGAGAGCAGGAGTCGGCGATGGCGGGACAGCGCCAGGCGGAAGAGAGAACCCGTTGAATAATCAGAGCACACACACGAGCGGCGCCCTCACGCGTGTGCATCAGAGGGTCTTTTCGGGAGGTCCCGACGGTTCCGTGCAATTTCATTGGTTGGTCGAGTTTCCATCAGCAAGATCTGAGGACGCGTTTTTCGCCTAACTGTGGTGTTACCCTGCACTTTTTGGTTGTCCGTCCGCTCAAACAGACGATTGGCCTTCAGAACGACAAAGTGTCCTACAGGAACTACCGGGCTGCAGCACGCGCCATCTTCACGCTTATTCGAGCCTTCTGTCCACCCGAAGGTATATGTAGGTGCAAAAGCGTCGGCAAATGTAGTATTCGCGTATTTTGTCAAGCTGTTCCAGGGTCCGACACTGTCTGTGAAGATATGACCCCCATGCATACTTGCGGCCTCATTTGACAACAATTGTTTTGTTTTTCATTTGTTTCATCTATGCTGCAACCGTTTGTGTGGGTATGCAGTATCGATTTTGGCGAATCTCGAGTAGCGGATTCGATATGGTTGGCCATGCTGGCGACACACCACCAGAGACAGTTTGTCGCCAATTCAAGCTAAGGAAACCATTGCACCCATGAAACCCAAAGCACCCATGGCAGCGGTTGGTTGGACCCACGCTTATTATTCCCCCGGCTTATTTATTTCGCTGCCCCATGGACCACCAACCACACTCTGTTTGATTTCTGTGAAACATTCGTTTTGCTCGTCACGCGATCGAAAGACGACGTTTACGGCAACAATACCCCGAGCGCTAGAGGCGCAGGAGCTTTCCAGAGATGCTGTGGAGGCAGAGTTCACACCTGTGGCGAAGGGAGTTTTCAGAAGGCCAGCGTGGACGAAGCGTACTTGGAGCCCGCGCGGCGGACTCTGACCGCGGAGCTCCTCTCCTCCGAGCAACACCAAGGCAGACCCGCCGCGAAAGGGCAAAGGCGTCCTACCGCCGCCACTGAAACATCAGCAGGGGCGGCAGAACGCCTAGTAGCGGGGATCAAACGACCTCGCACCGGCGACAACAGCGTGTTTGTCGCTGGACACGGTGATTATAGTAGCTTGGCTCCGGCCTGCTCTAAGCAAAGAAGAGAGTGGGGCGAGAGTCAATATGGGCACACAGAAGGAGATAGACACGAGTGGGATGTGACCGTCGGGTATGGATCTTCTATTGACGACGATGAGCAGTCGGACGAGTGGGGAAGAAAACGGCGAAGAGAACACGATGATGTGAGGGACGTCGGTGAAGACGAGGATCGACTCCTTGAGGCGGGCGGCTTGCTGGGGAAACGAATACAGAAAACACTGCGAGATGTGTTGAACTACGACTGTAGCGTCGGTGTAGCGAGCAACAAGGTGAGAACCCTGCAAAGCATGTGACTTAGCTTGCTGACTTGGAGGGTTGCGCGTTATTGACCGCATTGGCGCGATTAAGTGATGTTCGGCGTCTCTTGGATCATGTTTGACAGGTCGCGCCCCGGGCGTGGCTGGGACCAAAGGTGACTTAGATTGTGGGTGTACATAAACAATAGGCCGTCCTTCAACAGCTGTTCAACTCTCCGTTCGTGCACCAACGTAGATAAATGTTCCTTGATAGTTGTACATCCCTTTTGACTGCTGCTGTCGCCTGACCCACATTGGCGGCGTCACGCTCCCATTTGTTCGATTTTGTTCGATTTTGGCTCGATCGTTCCCGTCGTTGGCAGTTTCTAGCCAAGCTGGCGACAAGCCTCGCCAAGCCGAAAGGTGTGCGCGTGCTACTGCGGCGAGACGTGCCCTCTCTTCTCGCTTCCACGCCTGCCACCAAGATCCCTGGGTGTGGCACGGGCAGCGCGGCCGCTAGGCATTTTTTGGGGTGGGGAGTGAGGTCGGTTTTCGATTTGCGACAGATCGAGGCGGCGGAGCTGCGCAAGCGCTTGGGAGAGCAGCTAGGCGCCAAGGTCAGCTCACGGTCTTGGGGTGTACCCGCACGCTTGTCGTAAGAAAGGAAGTTCGCGTCCCAAGCCTTGCAGCGTATCGGTGACCTCGACGTCTGCGGCCTTGGTAAAGGGCTTGTCGATATTTAGATGTGTATTACTTGAGATGCATGTGGGTTTGGGGAGGACTTTATTTATATGACGTGCATGTCCGTGTGTATCAGGTCAGGAGATGTGTCATATTCTTCCATCCATCTTGGCGGTTGGAAATATTGGAAATGTGTAAAGCGTGTATGCGTTTATGCTGGCCTTCGTGTCGCTTCGTTTCCAACAGGGTGAGGCATCTCCTTGGCTGTTTTTCTTCGTCGGAAAAAAACAATTTCGTGGACCGATACGTTTGCAGGTGTTCGACCGGTGTCGGGGCGTTGACAACGACCCGGTTGAGCCCGACCCGATACCGAGCAGGGTTTCGTCGCAGCTGTCCCTTGTCCCGCTCATTACCCCGGCCCGCTGCCTCGGAAGACCTGGTGAGGTGAGATTATCTATTGATGTTTATACGAGTGTTCTCCCCACCGATATCAAGGCCGATATCAAGGTTCCTGGTGTCATGCCTGCCCCCTGCGAATGACAGGATGCCGTGGAACGTTTTTGACATGGTTGAGGAGCATAGTGTCTTTTAATTGATCTGATTGTTTTTTAAACGTTGAACAGAGTCATGGATGGAGGTGCGTGCGTTGCATGTCAATGCGTTTGGTATTTCTTTTTCCAGGCCGCTTTTTTCCATGCTTCTGACACTCAATGGTGCCCTTTCTACCCTAGGGCCAGGAACGATCGTAGATGTTGTCGTCGTGAACTGTTGGGAGAACGGGAAGACCGCCTCTTACACGACCGCCCGTTTGCTTGCCGTGGGATCGCTCGCAGAAACTGACTCCCGTGTTTCCGTGGGAGGTGAAGCGTGTGGAACCGTTCCTGGTGACGTTGGTGGACGACCTTATGGACCGCATGAAGGTAATACCAGCCGGAGCTAGGTTCTGCAGTCTTGCCGTGTTTCCGCCTTGCGCAGAGCATGTGTTTGTCGATGGGATGCTCTGCGGAATTCCGATCTTGAACGTCCGCCCCGATCGTGCTCACTTAGGGTACTGTTTTGTCCGCCTAGGAGGTTTCGTCCTTGTATCGTTTTCAACAGCTTCCAGTCGACATCGATTGCACACCACAAAGATGGAAAGCTGGCGATCGCCTAGGTAGCAATGAAGCACAAATGCATTTTTTTCCAAACACGCACTCTTCTGAAATTGCGACTTTCGGCGAGCCCACCACCAAAAAACACGGCGGTCTATATCATAATATGTGCTCTGATGAATCGGCGTACGAGTCTATTTTTTCTGCGAACAGCCAGGCAAGAGCTGGTCGAACGGTCAGTAATTATTTTCACGCCTCTCGAATATCGTAGCATTGTTTTTCCTTGGAAGGATACTAAACGTTTTAATTATTCCCTTCGTGAAGAGCTCCAACTGGATGGCCTATCAAAGATGTTTTCATGTTGCAACACGTTGTGCCGTGTTTTTTATCCTTCAATCGTATGAACTCTTCGCCCCGCACGGACAATCATGTCTCGAAACTATCCCTGTCATGCAGTTGGTTCATCAATAAGCTTCGCGCGGGCATTCAATAGCTGTTTGGATGTCTGACCCGTTCACCTCCTCCTACAACTCCATCCAGGAAGAGCTGGAGGAGAGAAATCGGAGGCCGACAAAGCTATGCATCGAGCATCACCTTCACCGTCGCGGCTCCAAAAGCCAGACGTTCGCCTTGCGTGCCCGACCTGCTCCGCGTGCTCGCACTCGCTACACGACCCCCACAAGCCCTGCTGCGGGAGTTGTAGACGAACGACAGGAACGTCAAGACGTGGCTGCACCAGAACCTACTGGAGAAACCGAAGACGCTGAAAGTCCTGGCGATCTTGGACTTCCTTCAGCGCAATCGTTAGTCGAGCTCGCACTCACGCCATTCAAGAATTACCAGAATAGCAGGACAACCGCGTCTGGTGGGGGAGCACCAATGGGAAATGGAGCGCGGAGAGAAGCTGCAACAGGAGAGAATGGAGGGAAACGAGCAGGGGCAGGAGGAGGAGACAATTGCCCATGTGATACGCTTCCGCCCGTTGTGAAGCTGAACATCTCGTTGCTCGGTTTCGAGAACGTGGGTCGGACGCAGTCAACAGCGGCTCCGCCTGGGCAGCGTACGCTCCGAGATATGATGTGGCTGGAGAAACCCGCGGCGAAAACTGATGCCGGTGCTGGAACGGAAGGCCGGCGGCGGGATGGCAACAACCTGAACACATCAGCAACTCCACCCAGAAAAAACGACCTTCCGCGGAAATCGGCGGTAGCAGACACTGTCGAACCTTCCCCGGTGGCGCAGACGGTGGCTGTTAGATCAGTAAATCGTTCTGGGGTGATCAATTCCTCTTCCCCAACCCAACCATGTAGCCTGCCGAAAGCTTCGAATACGATCGCAACAACAGGCGATGGGGATTCCCCACCAACGATCGCAGAGCAAGGCAGCGTCCTGGTGCGTTGTCCGAGGTGCAAGGCGTGCTTGCCGGTGGGAGAAGCGTGGGACGCACACCGAGAGGCGCATCTGGCGGTGTCGCCCCTTGCTGACGATGGAAAGGATGTATCCAAAACAAGCGGACAGTCCACCCGGCCGCATCAGTCAGATGGCCCGGCGTCTGTTCACCCGCCGGACCGATCGTTCGTGACGACGAATGCAGCAGTAGAACCATGTGCCGGCAACGAAGGACAAGCTGGAGGATGCGTTGCTTTTGAAGACAATGATTTTCGATCAGACTCGGCGTTCGAAGTACCGCTACGGGGGCGTGCTGGTAGCAGCGGAGATGGCCGGGACGAGCTGTGGCGCAGCAGGAAGCTTTCAGACCTCCTGATGCTGGCGGTCTCGCCTGAGCAGGCGGCGGATGTACTCAAGCAGCGCGGCCTTCTGCGAGACGATGGGCAGACTCGCTTTGCAAGCCTCCATCTATGAGGGAAGCAACAGCAAGCAATGCTGGACCTCCGTCAAAAGTTCGCACACGTTCGTTTCCAGGAAATATGTGGAAGGTCGACGGGGGCGTTCTGCACGGTTTGCCATCGGGGTGGGGATGTGCTATGTGGACGGTGTGGCGCCTTCACGGCTGTGGGCGACGAAGTTGATGGTTACATTCCTGCGTACAGTAGCACCCTATTCTATCGTATATTGCCTCGAGGGCGTTGCAGTGTCCATATGCCTTGGCGTAGGTGCTTTCATCAGTGGTTTTCACACTCTGTGCGTGCGTATTGCTTAATTGTACCTTTTAGAACAATGGCGTGTGTTAGGTTGTACCGTGGACACCAAGGGCATTGCAGCCACCTTGACCAGGAAGCGAATACCGCCCAGCAGTCATGGCTCAAAACGCTTAAAGGCTTGCTGAGATATGGTAAAGCAATATGCAGATTGATGATTAAAATCAGAGTGCACAGGGTACCACGAGCGGGTGGAAAGTGGAGACTAGCGTTCCACATTCCCACGAGTTGTAAGGCATGTCTCAGCTCCTCTCGGCATTGGATGCGCCAGTATCGCCATACCTGCTCAGTTTCACATAACTTGTCAGTTGACCAAAGAATCTTCGCCAAACAACAAATAGCCGTCCTTTACGGTAACAATCTCCTATCGTAGTTTCTTGCGTAAGGTGCACCTACGCCTTCGTGTTCCAGGAAACACCCCCACATCTGTTTCACAAAAACTGCTGCCCACGGCAGACAATTCCATTCTCGTCTTCTGGCGCTTAAGAACACTCCCCCCGAACAATTACAAGCAAGCATATAGGTCATCGTACGTCTACTGGACAAGTCACAAGGCTCGCACAAAGGCCCCCAAGCGTAAGAGATGCCCACCAGCGGTTGGCATATGGAAGATGACAATCGGCTGTAAATCCTGGGCTTCGTTGTGCCAGCTTCCCCGTTCAACCGTTCACCACGAGGTTCAACTACGACACAAGGTGGTTCTAGAATCAACGCACACAAGTCGGCGGCACCATGTCCTGAAATCTCCGCGTGCTCACCGCCTGCGCTTCGCGCGTTCGGCGTCCTCCGCATCCTCTGTCTGCTTCAATTCCACCTTCAGGTTCAAATGTGCAAGTCGCGGGAGGCAGTCCAGGGTTAACAATGAGCGTTTGCTTCCTGGTTTTGTTCGATGGGGAGTTTTTTTTCCTCGGTCGCTCGGTTTCCCCCCTAGTCTAAGCAACCACCGTAAACCTGTCTTTCGTATCGAGGTTGCTGCCGCCAGAAGTAGAAATCAACTCCAAGTTGTGGTTGTTTCACCCACCTTCCTCCTTGCGGTGGCTAACCACTTGGAGGCTCGGCCCTGCCACTCGGTCTCGGTCCCTTTGATTTTCTGCCTGGTCTCCTTGTTGATGCGGATGATATTGTTGCTAGCAAGCACCTTGCGGTCGACCACGGTTTGCTCTGTGAGGGCCTCTCGTTGCTCGAACTGGGACCGCATACCGGCCTCCTCTTCGGACCACTTCTTCTCTCGTGCCTATTTATCAGAAAACGTACAGGAGTTCCGTCAAACCTCTCGGTGAACCACTTTATCATGGACAAACCACATGTGGTGGCTTGGAGATTGTGACTGTCGGGGCGATCGTGACGTCGATAGTCCTCCCCGGAAGCCTTGCAAAGCGAGAAAAAAGTTTCAAGGTTATGAGCACAACAAATCGTTCAGCGATCTCTGACCCCCTTTGCCGCTCATGTCATCTGGTACTGTTGCTTGTTTTTGGCAGTTCCGGTAGCACTGTCGTTCAGTGATTGAACGTGACAATCAGGCGATACCGCACGATCTTGGCCTCAAAATGATTCGCGATGCCTACTTTCCAACTTGCTGCACCTACTTGAGCGTGGAGCATGCAGCTTGTCGACGGCAAAAATCGGGCAGTGGCCTACATACTACCTGTTGCTCTTTGCGCACGACGTCGTCCATGTCTTCTAGCTGTTTGCGGTGGGCCTCCGCGACGGCCGAGGGTACTCCTCCTTCGTCCTCTTTCAGCCTGGGAGACAGACGAACAAGAATGAATGTGGAACGTACAGTGACGTGGCATTTCTTGGATGCAGACTAAAACGATCGAGATGGCAAACACCTACACTAGCGTTGATTCTCGTTTGGGTACCTTCCGATTCCCCGCGGAGGAGTGGGCTCAACTACGTTCTGGAATCTCCGAGAGAAAGCGCATTATATCCACGAGTTCAGTCGTTGTAGACACCATTCCGAGTTGTCACATCTGGCCTATTTCACTGGAAACATGTTCAGCATCTGTTCAAAGTTCGACACCATACGAAGTAGAGTAGTGAATACCTCGTCTCCACCACGTCTTGCTCTTGCTGCTTCACGTCCCTAAGTCGGAGAAGTTCCCGAGTCCTCAGCTCCACTTCGGTGTTGACTGCGTCCGACTCCACGTTGATCTTGTGCTCGAAAGTTTTGCGATCTTTTTCCATATCGGCCCGAGTCGTTTTCTAGAAATATTTCCACACGCCAGGATTACTCATTAGCTTTGTGGAGGCAGATAATCATCGTCAACAAGGAGGCACCCCATGGTCTCTCCTCAATCCTGCATGCCGTTCTTTAGACATGTCCCTCGGATGTACTTTTCACATGTTGCCAGCACCCCGCTTACCTCGAAGTGCTCGAAGTCCACCTCTATCTTGCGGATCTTTACCGCCCCTTCCGCCTCCAGGGCCCTCCGGTCGTCCTCGATCGACTGGCCTACGTCCATCAGCGCCTGCCGATATACACGGAGGTCGTCGAATTGGTATCTTTCCTCGGCGTCACCTTCGATTTACAGGATTGAAATGATCCTACTTGCGACGGATAGTTATCGAACCGAGTTTCGCCTGCACCTTTAGGGGTAGGGTGTGATTTTCGATCTGAACCGAGAGGACAGGCATGCGCTGTTCGCGTTTGACATCTACATAGCATGCGTGCATCGCTCTTCGAGGAGTCCAAGAAATATTTGCCCTTGTCGTGTTTCGGCTCGCGTGTGGCGGCGAGTATGCCACAGGTGACTAGGCACATCTCGCATCGCTCTCCTACTTCTACAAATGAAGAACATGCCGTTTCCTCGGACCTGTCCCTCCAGCCGTAGCTCTGCTCCGAAGAACCAATCGTCCTCTGGCGGCATCAAGGCGGCAGTCGAGTGCACCTCTTCACGTAGCTGCTCTCCTCGAGCACGGAATTTTCCTGAGAGCGACAATATCGTGAGCCGAGACCACCGCGATCACGGCGACGACAGTACGAGGTAAACGTGATTGCTTGTGCGGAGAATTGTTCTGATGAGCGAAGGTATGCATCGAAAGAGAAGGAGACTCCAGTTGTCAGTTCTTACAACAATAGACGATGGCATAAGTTAGGGGGCTACGACATTCATTGTTGCATAAGAGCACGCAGTCCGTGCCCTCTCGAACTGTGCACCCTTTGTGGATAGAATCAGAGTGTACCATGTTCGTGAACGGCAGCGAAAGGTCAACATAGTCTAATGCCTATGAGTTTGAATGCAAACGGTACGTACCAAGGTCACTTACCGTCCAATCCTTCTCGAGCGGCTCGCAACCATCGCACAGCCAGCGCCCTGGAAGCTGCGTTGAGTTCGACGATCCAGTCCTTGGTACGCGGGTCTTCTTCCTTCGTACCTGCGATGTCCTGCTTGCCGCCCTGCAACTTTCGCCTTCGCATGCGCTCAACGTATCTGTCATACAAGTACAGAGAGAACGAAATACACACCTGTGAGTACACATCCACTCGCCAGGGCAACGGCTCCCCTTGGTTCTTATGACCCCTGCTCCCGACTCCTTGAAACAAGGGTTGATCTCGGACAGCAAATATCGCGTGAACAACGCCCACGTTGGTGTACACACATCTCTCTGTTGTGACGCTAATAATACATGTACATCTCTGCAAAGGAGCACCCCTACACGCCCATCACAGATGCTCCGCAATAAGCCTCACCTGAAAATAAATGTAACCATCAAGAGGGACGTGTGTTGAACTGATGAAGTAACCTCTCCCCCAATCTGTCGCTACACTCTTGTATACCATTATCCCAGTCCGAAACATGTTGCAAAATGCCCCACAGAGATACCTTCATGCCTGCCAGCTCTCACGTTGCACGAATTCTTCAAAGAAACAAAAAAACGAAACGCCCGTATGATCAAACGCATCACCTTTCCATCTGCGCCTTAGCTTCAGGCTTCGGGAACAGATGGACTCCGCCCAGCTTCGTGCGTGCCGCATTTAGCCACTTCGACATCATTCTGCCCTCGGGGCTAGTTCGTGTCACTACTACGGCATCAAATACCGCCTCGTCCTATTAATGAAGTCGTTACACGTGAAAGAAGGCGAAGGGCGGAATTTGGCGACCGTTCACATGTTAGTCTTACGTTTTGTTCGAGGGTGGACAAGACATGCAGTACCATGCTGGCCACATTTTGCCGTCACGCTTTGGCTATGACCCTGTCCTCAAGGCTAGTAAATGTACAACGACGCAATTTCTAGCTGCTGCGTGGGTTTACTTTATGGACGGGGCCGGGGGAAGGGGACAAGCACAACTTGGCGTGGAAAAGGTTCAATATCATGCCTGACCGGTTGGCAGTTTCTTGTCACACGCAGCGCACATTCAATGGAAGGTTAGCAGCGCGAAAATAGTCGCTGCGATAGAATCCATGCTGGACTGTTCCTAATGTTGTTGGACCCTTGGTTTCCAGCACCCACATCGTCTTCGTCTGAAGAAATATCGTCCATTCGCGTGACACGGTCTGCTCCCGGTGCTCTGGCCAACCGCTTAAGCCGCTCCTGCTCCAATCGGTCCGTGCACTTGGAGCACCTACGGTCCATCATTGTTGTCCCATGGCAGAATGTTGAAATCGTGTCAAGAGAAATCTACGAGAACGGAAAGGCATCGTTAAAGTAAGAGATTCAAGTGGAATGTCGTAATGTTTCACAAGTTTACCATCCCTCAAGTGTTGATCCCTTGGCAGGCTTGCGGAAAATACATGGTGATGGATTCTGGGAAACAATTATTTCAGGTTACAAGCATCGTTCATCGTTGGCTTGATCTATAAAATTATGAAATTTCTCTGCCAAGGCAATGCAACAAACAAACGTGTTTTCACTCGCTCCAGAACAATGGAAGACACGATTTTGTACCGCATTCCCGAAGTGTGCATCGTATACCTCGACAATTGACTTCTATTGGCCCAGTTGAAAGGCCAGGGTCAAGTAACGACAGTTGATAGGACGAGTACTCAGCCGAGTGCGACTGAAGCTGTGCCACGGTAGCGATTGACGAATCTACCTATATATCGCCTTTCGGTAACGCAGCCGGTTAGGTGGCGTGTCTCCCGGAAGTCGCGGATAAAAGTTGTGGTGAGCTTCAATGTGAGGCTTCAAAGTTGAAGTCTTCAAGTGGAGGCACATAATAGGTATCCCGCTTACCTTGTGATGTACTCGGCATTGGCGCGGAAGTATGCCTTCCACAGGTTAGCATCCATTTCGTCCACGCCGTACAGCTCCTATGAAACATGGGAAGCACAAAGCGAAGGGCAAGAGGGTAAACCTGGACGGAATACTCGATGGTCCCGAAATATCAGGAATAGTGCATAATCCATGGGAAACAGACGTGAACGTCCACATTCCTCGCTGAATCTGGTGATTGCGACCTGTTCATTCAACCAATGTAATCACATGTATTGTCACCGTTGATCCTCGACAACGTACGACGAAGACGGGAAGACAAAGAGATACTCACAGACATAATATGATAGGAGATGGTGGTCGCTGTCCATACTGATATGACAATCGTCTTGCAACCCGCGTATTCTCAAACGAAAAGCCTACACGCTTGCACTGAATCCGACAACGACCAGTTTATTTTTACCTCGAAACCTGCGATGAGGCGGTCGATCGCGTACGCGTCGGCCTTGCCCTCCAGAGCTAAGGACACTGCGAGGGTTCGGCCCTGCTGTCCCGCCGCGCATTCGCAAATTGCGCAGTGTTCCGCCTGGGGAAATTCGTTCAGTTGCAGAAAAAGCGAGAAACGATGATGGACATGCTCCAGTGTTGTCGATGTTTGCTTTTTGTCATGGTGTAGACGTTGTCGCTGATACTCCTGGTGTTATTGCACGTGCAAACACCTCGCGCGAAACATTTGACTTTTTCGCTGTGGTCTTGGTCGTTGCTGGTATCGTAAACAAGTCCAAAGTCGTCGCGAAAGGCTTGTTGTTCGGCCTCGATGCCGTCGAAGTACTTGCAAAACCCATCACAGCGCACATTACAACTATCACCACAGAAAAAAAACTAGAAAAACAGCGATAAAACGTTCGGTCTTGCCCTAAAACTCCATCGTCCGTCTCTCTGACCTGGTTGTTCTGCACGATGCCGGTAACGAACTTCCAGAACGACCGACGCTTCCTAGCCTTGGAAAGCCACAACCGAGCGATCGCCAAGGAGGCTCCGACGAGTGGTGTGCGAGGCCAGTTGCGGCGTTGTTCCTGTAGCACATTTCGGTTGAATTCGTGTTGGTTTGGAGCAAAGATTGTGAGAGTGACCAAACCCGTCTACTTCACTAGGCCGCCCTGCCGATGTTTCCAACCGCAAGATGAATCTTGGGAGAAAAATGGCAGATACTAGAAAATGACCGTTGGTGTCGAGGAACATTTTTGGTTTTTGGAGTGAGTGCAGATGTACCTCCATTTCGTCCTCTTCGTCAGAAGAAATGTCGCTCCGGTCTCCTGGTCTCCGCAACCCCTCCCCCATACCCACCAACTCTGCATAGACATCACGGACGTACTCCACAGCTGGTCTCCTGTTGTTCATCCCAAGCGATCGACGAGTGGTAAAATACAGTATGAAGGAACGAAATTATGCCCTGTCAAGGGCCTCACCAAGACTCACGGCGACTATGTAGCAAGCAATACTTTACCGAAGGGTGCACGATTTCACCCTTGTTGATACTCTGCAGAGTACGATAGTCCTCTGCACGACCCCCAAAAGCGGAGACCTGTGGTAGTTATTATCACCAGCTTGCCACGAACGAACCAGCTCTGACGTCTACTGCCGAACATAGCGACGCTGGAACAACAACACTCAAGCTCAAACACGCCTCAATCTGCTATATCTACCCGTCTGGCCCTGTGTGCTGTAGTGTCCTTGGCGTGAGTAGGTCTGTCAGATGCTGCAAGATCCACGGCCGGTTTCGCTCGAGGAAGCGATGTCGGAAACGCTCGCTGTTGAGGGCCTGCAACTCCAGCCGCTCCTGCTCAAGGTTAGCCTAAACTCGAAAAAATGATTAAACGAGGTGTGACACACACGAACGAAAAGCCAGAGTTCGGGTTGTTGGGTTCTAGAAGATTAGAAAAAGCTGCCCATCGCTCACTTTGAAGGAATGACTGAGGTTGTTCGAGTGGCGTATGGTATTACAGTAATATACCATGGCACGTAAGAACGGTGCTCTGTTGGTAGTGGAACATCCCCTCGAAAATGGGGGCGCACCTGACGACCCTCTCCGATGGCGAGCTTGGCCGCAATGTCGTCATCCACGGTGCCCTCGATGTTTTTCGTCATCCAAAGGCCTCTCCACCCCATCCTTTTCACCTTTGAGATACACGAACAGGGGAACGTGGTGAATTTCGAAGGGCTCTGAAGAAAGGGCAAGCCGAGAAACAATTTTCCAATCCTGACCAGTCTAATGTGAATGCGAGCATTGCGGTGACCACATGCATACAAATGCCCTTTTCTCTTTGCAACCAACCTTGATATTTGCTAAATGCCGGAGCAGCTGCTGCACAAGGTCCCCGAACAGGAACATAACGGCGAAGATGAGCGGCCCGACAGGATCGCCGAAGAGGCTGTACTCCCACCGCAAGAATATCGTGAGCCCCATTAGCCCCAGCACCATCCCCACGGCGAACAGCGCGTTGATGAAATAGAACTGTAATCAACATGGACGGGCGTGAGGTGGGGTCGGGGTGTAGAAAGGGTTGGTTTCTAGATCGTTGATTGTCAAAACCATCGCGCAGGTTGGCACCTTAACCGGGACAAGCCTGACTATACGAAACTTCTTTCCAAAAAACGGTCGGTGGTAGCAGAAATATATCATACGTTAACATCAACTTGTGTACATCCCGTGGAACTGCCACGCAAAGTAAACTGTACTTCCGTCGAACCCCTGTGCACATGGAGAGATTTTCGGAACACATATTACAGCCGAATGAGGCAAAACAATAATTGCGGATGACGTTGTTTCCGTGCCTGCGAACTGAAGCACAGCAAGTCCAGGGTCTGCATGGGTTCCGCGATGGACTCGTCGAGGGTTTCGTTTCGCATCATCCAGCGGTGCTGCCGAACGCTGAAGCGGTACTTCTGGTACGCGATGTAGTCGTACACTCGCCACCCGTGTACAAGCTGCAGAGCACCGGACGGAGAAATAATAGCAGATGTGAATATGTCAGATTCAGTATGTTGTTGTTGACTTCACATTAAACCGTATGCCAGGTGCTAAATGCCAAAATCTAGCAAAGACTCTCGGCCCGTGGTCACGAAAGTGCTGGAGCCATCTGAGGATCTAAAGAACACGCACACGTAGCAAGAAAAAGGTGTATGTAGCAGACGATATAAGCAGTAAAAGCAGAGTACGATTGCATGAGAGGAGCTAGCAAATCGGTGGACCAGCAATCACCACGTCGAACCCATCCTTCCGAAAGAATGAAGGGCCTAAGATGGGCAATGTCGCCCAGTTCACTCGTGTCAGCCTTTGACATGCAGCAGACATCACACCCTCGTTCCCTCCTCAAGTGATCGGCGCGCGAGTGGGTCGACAAGAAGTCAGGTACTGTAGCACCGAACACAACCAACAACCAACCTCCTGCGTGTTGAGCACGAACACGTCCATGATGAGCGAGAAGGGGATGATCACCAAGGCGAACGCAAGGTAGTAGCCCATCTCGTTGTCGCGGATGCCGTACAGCTCGGCCATCTTGGTCTGCTGGCTGAAGACCATGATCAAGAAGATCACGCCAGGCATGATGAACATGCCCAGGACCTGACGCATGGGCGTTGGATTTTTGGTCATTGCTTATTGCCGGGACCGGCATGGTTCACAGCGTTCATGTATTGTGTCTGCCTTCTGTTCCAAAAAACACTTGGGTTAAGGATTTGGCATCAAAGTATCTGAGCCTAGCAATACTTCGAAGTTCAATATGGCACTGCAGCAGACGCTCGCTCTCTGCTAATAACAGACAATCGCTCAGCTGCCATCGCTGAAGATGTGTCTGGGGCGTCTGAGTGGCTGAGCGTTGGCAATCGGTATGGTGACGCTATTGTTTTCCCAAACATACAATTCCATGCCGTGCTCGTGTACGGGGCATCACACCGAGCCAACACATTTTTCTTACTCCACATAATCCGACAGCTTCAAATACCTCGGTTGAATACACGAAATAGGAGTCCAAGAGGGGCTCCACGCCCTCCCGCTCCAGCTCTATGTCCTCATTGATCTTGCGCCACGCCATCTCCTCTTTTGCCTTGTCTTCTCGGGTCATGCGCCGACGGCGGGAGAAGCGCCTCTTCCACAGCATTCGCCATCTTGGGTACAGCTTCGACATCTGTTAGTGTACGTGTCGTCGTGTCGGCATCTTTGGTACACCCTACTGCTGGTCCTTCACAATACCGCGACGTTCTGACCTCTTACCTGGAACCCTCGTTTTCCGTAGCGAATGCACACAAGGATGCACAATGCCGACTGCTGCACGTTTCAGAGCTTCCGTGCGTGGGGAAAAGGCATGGACGCAGCTTCACGCGTGTGTAGTGGAGTGAACACCTTTGCTGAGGATCTATTGTAGACAATGGGACAGTGGTGCATCGTCGCAAAGCTGCAAACTGCAAGTACCATACACCGGGGTTGAGCAGTGTTCCGGAACGTTCGCGAAGAAAAGAAGCTGTCAACAACGCACGTCACGAGAAGAAAAGAAGCTGTCAACAACGCACGTCGCGGGCATCAAGGACGATCTCCGAACAGTGAGCATGTTGTCAAAGCGCAACAGCATCGACAAAGTGTGGGAATATCACTAAGAATTTCAGTCGCCGCAACAACAAGGCCATCGAAAACGTACCTCCTTAGTACCGGGGTCGAGGTAGAGCCTCTCGAGCATCATCACTGATAGCTCCACAAAGAAAGACACCACGAAGTCCTGCCGGCGAACGCGCACGAACGGTGGGACAACATTCGATCAAGGGCGATATGTTTATTTGCTGGTGTTACGACGAACACTCCCCTACGAAAATGCATCAGTGCGCTACCGTTATTTTTCGGATGCATTGGGATGTTTCACCGTCGAAGGCATTTGGTGGAGCATCGCATGGAGCATCGCATACCTTGAAATCTTCGGCGCCCATCGTGACAAGCTGTTCCGTGATTCCAACTACCACGAGGAGGGGCGCCACCATGAGAAGCTCCCGCAGGAGACCCTCAAGCACGAGGTCCATAAACATCTGTCGGGAATGGGGTCATAGGATATCGAAAAATGAAATGACGGTTCTTATCGGGGCAGGCCAACAGCCATCCTCACGCACGCGATTGAGGCAACATGTCAAGAGGTGCTTCATGTGTCTTTTTTTCAAGCGGTTCGATTGCGCACGCATTCTGTCTTCGGTGTGCATGCACGGATGTTGCCTATTGCACCCCCACTTCTCCGCTGTTTGTTCATGCTTGAGCGCCACCAAAGTTCAGTTTACAACAACTGATGTCAAGTTGCTGCTGAACCATGTTGGAACGCCTCGAGAATTTCCGCAACAGGTGAACAAACCTGAGCGATCTTGAAGCCCACGATGAACTGGTACACGTATGTGGCAAAGGTGTTGGAGTACGAGAACTCCCAGATGCCCACCAGGAGGCCCTGCATGACAAGCGATGCCCACAGCAGGTGGGCGCGCTTCCACTGCATAGGCGCGAAGACCGGAGACGTTGGTAGCTGATCCTGAAGGTAAGAAGAGGCCAACGACGAATGAAGGGATAGAGGTAGTTGTCACGCTGCATTGTCGTTAGCAGAGAGTAAGTTTGACGGTGTGCCAGAAAATTGTAGTATCGCTTTCGAACAGAATTTTCTCGATCGCCTCTTGGGCGGCACGCATGTCCGTAAAACATGCATCTCGTTGGTCAGCACAGAGAAGGCTGTGGGAGCTATAGCAGTCCTATCGAAGGTTATTTATATGCGAAAGAGGGATTAAGCGGAGACAAAGATTGAACGGTGACCACAAAAAGCAGAACATGAACTGAAAGTGTGTTAGTTCTGTACGTTCGCCGAATGAGCGCATGGAGAAGCGAAATATGTGGGTATCACGAAAATATACTAACGTCGTCTTCGTCGTTGTAGTAGATGTCCTTGGCCACATTGGCCTCGGCCTGCGCCTTGTTCTCCTCTGACCAGTCCGGCACAAATAGCTCGACGGAGATGAGAGCAATATAGATCATGGAGGCTATCAGGCACACGCCGATCCGGCCGTTGCGGTAGGTCAGGACGCGGTCCGTCGTAAGAGCAAGGTTATCTTGCCAGCTCCTGCAATGCACGTCGTTCGAAAGTTCAGTTCACAACAACACGATAGGATGTAGTTGTTGGTGATCACCGCGTACCTTCGATCAATCAAATCATGGCGCCTGTTCGTCCCATAAAAGGGATATTTGGTTCTGTTGAATATCGCTGCTTAGACTTGGCCGCCACACGAATGCTGCCCATGATTCAGTGAATAAGAAAGGCGATGTTTCGTTGATGTCGCAAGTAAAGTCAAGCCGTTATAATCGGAACTACTGTCTGGAGTTCGACCGAAGGACGAGTGGTGAGACTCCAGATCGGTGATATCGTGGGGAACAACACACCCGGTTATTCCTTCGAAGTTGAAAGCCGAAGGCGTGGTCACAGGGTCCGAAGACGCCAGGAAACTGTTCTCCGCAAACCAGCACCATACAAACGCCACGGTGAGCATCGTTGGGACAAAAGCCAGTAGCACCCCTTGTGTCGGTGCCTCCGACACGATGTGGAACAACACCGATCCGTGGAACTTCGGCGGGTGTCGGAGCTTGGTGAGGAGGCGGTTGATACCCCACACGATAATCGCTTCCGTAACCGCAATAATGCTGATACGTCAAGCCCGAAACACGTCCAGGCAACAAAATACGTGGCGGGGCAGGAGGGGGGCAGGTGGAGGGGGGGGGCGATGTTGTAGATGCATGCTGTATTGCTGTATTACAGTGCAGGTTCACGTGAGAAATGAATTGTTGCAATCTCAAAGCCATGCTCCGGCCAGTGTGGATTTATTCTCTCTGCTACTTGCTATTGTCGAAACAAGAGAACCGTCAACAGGGAGCATCAGGGGAAACGATTACCGAAGGTTTAAGCACGAATTTGCACTGTGAGACACTCAAAACTGCGACTGTTTTCGTGGTGCGGAAGAGACTCACGAAATAGGCTTCGTTGATCAAGTATCAAACCGACAACGTTGTCAAAGTCGGATGCATAAGCTTGCCAAAACGTTTTATGACGTCAGGGTGAAAGTCTCGAGATTGACGTACGTCGGAACTCACCCGACTGCCATAAAAAGCAGCATGTAGAGCATCCAGTCGAACTCGAAGAAATTGACCAGATCCATCCAGGTAAGCGCCACGTACTGCACTTCCAGGGTGTACCCATAGTCCTTCAGATCGCCATTTATGTCCACCTCGCAAGGCTCGATCGACTGGAACCACCAAAGCAGGCAAATTCCGTTCAAAGTCAAGCAATGGCTTACACCGACGGTGTTTGGTATGGGGAAACAAGATGTTGAAATACCAGGAGGTGGAGTTGTGACGAAGGAATACCGGTCTTGAGTGGCTGCAGTAATAATCTGGAAGGTCAGTTGCAATGGCGGTTGTCACGGTTATTACCACGTTACCTTGGCGGCAAAGGTTTCGAGGAGAACTTCGTTTCCGCCGTACTCCAGCGGGGGGATGGTGGTACAGAGCTCGGTGAACTCGAAAAACATGTCGACCATCCGCTTTGTCCCGCGCTGCCTCTGGAAGTAGTTGATCGTCAACTGTAACGACACGAGGAGGAGTGAGAAACGGGTTTGTTCATCAGAAACAACGTCCGTGCAAGCGCCACCTACTTTCGGTGGATTTCCCACACTTGCTGCTTGGCAACTGCATATATTTTCGAACTCTATCTTCCGAACCATCGCCCCATGTTTCCAGCCACGCACAAGTTCCAAGTGAGTGGCGTGGGCGCTACAGCAACCGCAGGTCCACCTGCAACATATACTCGAGACTCACTGGGCTCCCGTTTCAACAATATCTCATCACAAGTTGTCACAAGAATCGCATCGAATATGTTATTGGCCCAGAAGTACTGGACCTCCAAAGTTGGGAAAACGAAGACCGAAACGAACGGAACGCATTGATATGAGTGGTTGGTGGGCATCTACAAACAAAACCGACCTTTTCGCAGATTTGATCAACCATCTACTGGTCTCATTCCCATCAGGCCCCTCAATCTTCGAACAGAAGGTGTCATGACGTGAAAACCCAGCCTGGACACCCTCACCTTAACGTTTTGAGGCTTGGTGTGTTGTTCTCCGGGATAGTCCTCGGAAACCTCTACTGGCACGTAACGGTAGGTTCCCAACAAGCTCTGCGGGAAAGGATAAATCCATCAAACAAGGATAGCAACGCCGTTCATGTGCCGTTCACACGGGTCGAGAGAGGCATAATCGGTTGTGCGGAGACAGTTGCTCTCGCGAGCAGTTTCAGAGATTGCGGCTGGTACGAGTCGGGTGCGGTGACTCCACCCAAACCCCGCGCGAACATGTTCGAATCATGGTATTCGGTGGAACGAAAGATCTAGCCGGCCCTCAGCGTTCCGTTGTGCGGTAGCCACGGAACCCCACCTGGCTATATGTCGTTGGACTAAACGACTCGATTAGTTCAGGTATTCAATAGTCAACGATAGTAGTGTGATAGACATGAGAAGTCGAAGTTGCACCTCCAAAGTTGAACTCCGCCCCCAACCCGTGACGATGTCTCCGTTGCTGTCTACGGTCTCCTCGAAGTCCGCCGGGTCTAAGGGATCCTTCGTCACGTGGAAGAGGGTCGTGCCGGCGTCAGCTTGGAACCACCTGCCGCATCGCGATACGGTTTCGTGCGGAGTGACGACAGAGGTGTTATGGGTCTATCGAAGCTATGCGAAAACAAGGCGATAGGAAAAATCCATCAAGACATGCACATGAACACTCAGCCATAGAAACAGGGCAGAGCCTTTTGCCTGAAGCACCTTCTTTGTGCCGAGGCCATAGAAATGTCCTCTTCGTACGTACAGTCCAGGTAGACGCCCCTAGTCTCTCCAGTGATGAGCAAGTTGCCGTCATCGTCGTACCGCTCTTCGGAAGTAAGCTGCACAAGGCACTCATCCGAAAAAGGGGATTTGCCGATGCTTCGCCACTGGTTGATTGCCTTCGTTTGCTCGTACGGAATCTGATTTCGTGGTGCAAAGGCAAGAGCAACAGGTCAGCTCTTCGAGCGCTTGCCAAAGAGGCTGCTTCCGATAGAGACGAAAGAACATTCGTCATCGACACGAGACGTTTTCGCGAATGAACAAGAGTTGAAAAGTCTCTACAACACGCGGTTCAAGAAATAAAATGCAAACGCATCTCGCTCACCAGCGTGCATCCCGGGTGCGACTCCACGAGCTTGGAGAAACTCATGTGGTTTCCGTAGCCCGCGCACGAGCTCAGGAATGGAAAGTACGGCGTGGTGAGGAAGGTGTTCGCGCCGGAGTCGTCTCCGGAGGCCCACCTGCCATAGGACAGAGTAAATGACACTGGAGTTTTTCATGTGTTGCCGAGAATTAAAGAAGTAATGGTGTTTTTCTTGGTGTTTTGGTGATTGTCGCACAAACCGAAAAGGTACGGCATGCAGCCGAGCTTACCCCAGCGAACGGTTGCTTCCGACAAGTGTTCCAACCTCATGCACTCCGTGCCATCTTCGACGCGAAGGGGACCCTACATGTGGGCAAAGCCTCGGTCGTAGTAGTGAGACTCACCAGTTCGAGTCTTCGAAAACATCATTGTATTCCGGCCGGACAACCTCGCGCTCCGGAATGATATCGTAGTCAGGGATGGTGGCGTTGTCGTTTGCAAGGAAGGCCTCCTGATTCAAGTACCTCGCGTAATTGCTGTAGTATGAAGGGTCCGCGACGTCGATGTCATAGGCCCGGTCGATGAACACCTTGGAAGATATTTTCGTCGAGATTTTTAGACAGAAAGCGGAAACGGAAAAGGGTCAAGGTTGGTACAGACGAAGTATCGAGGCTTCCGGAAAGAAAGATACAACTGTTCCCTTTTCGTACATTCCCTCATATACATATCTACCCGATGTAGGCTACCATTTAGGCCAAATTTACATACTTCAAAGGCGTAAGAATGCGCGAATGAGAGGGCTCCGCATGTCCAAACAAGAAATAACCACCATAGCGTGCACAATGAGCGTTGATCCCCGCGAGAGAGACTCCACGCTCTCAACCAGGTCCCGCGCACTTTAACTTTACCTTGTTTTCAAAGACTGCCTCAGTCACCGAGGGGGGTGACGCGGCCACGCGCACGTGTTCTTTTGGAAGGTTGAACGGGAGCTATGACGGAGAAGAGATCAGAAACAACAACAGCAACGACAGCAAAAAAAGTGGGGGGGCTGTAAGTTTGAGGGCAATCAGGTTCAGTGGCGATAAAGTGGTAGGCACGGCCACTTGTAAAGGTACATGACACAGATATGGACATTGACTCTCCTCTCCTCCCGCACGTCGAGTGTCAAAGCGACGCCACGAAAACTAGGTCCGTCAATCATGCATCCTGTGCTTTGAAGTTGGTTCGCTGGGTATTGATTTCAAGAAGTGTGTATGATGTTCTGTTGATTGGCATTTCATCGGCCTGTAAGAAACTAATACGCGAGGGGCCAATAAGTGTACCTGCAAGTCCGTGAAGTCATCCTTGGCGAGCAAAAAAAAGAAGGAATTTCGCGACGGTTCCAGGGGCGTATAGTCCGATCTCGCGGGGGTGAAGATGAAGAGCTCTCCGATGTTTTCCATCATGTTGTCGAAGTCATAATAGTACATTCCGTGAAGCAGCTCGAGGGCAGCCGTGATCTCCACCTCCTTGAGAGCCGTCAGAGAGAAGCTAATCAAATTGTGCTTCGTATCAGGATAACTGTGGTCGGACAGGGTAAAAAAAGGTTGGCGAAAGAGTGAGAGTTGCTTGTAATCAATGCGCCGGGGATCGAAGGGCTCAAACACTGGGAATGGCTCTTCGACACATTCATAGTCCTGAACAGAGTGTAAGCTGAGGCGTTGCCAGCGGACGAGCGTCCCACTCCACATGTACTCAGAGTGCAAGGCCATTTACTTGGAGGGGGGGAACACGAGCCTGAGGAGAAAACAATGTAAGGAAGCCTAGTGCTGTAGATAATCAGCCCGAGGGTACCATCATTCTTATTTTGCAAGCAAAGGGTCACCGTGTAAGCCAACCTTACTGTTGTACCTTTGTACCTTCCTACAACCTAGTCAATGCTTCCCCCTCTAGGGATATATTGCGTCCACGGCTCACCCCTGGTCCGTAGATGTGTCATCGAAGTACGGCGGTAAGCTATGCGACTCGCACTGGCAGCATCCCGGCGTGGTCTCGTAGATCTCTCCTGGCAATGTGTTGGTAAGAGGAGTCGTATCGGTGACATATTTTTCTAAGCTTTTCGCCTTCCGAAAAAATTTCAGTACAAAGAGCCAGTGCCTCACCAAGGTCTCGCAACTGCTCTTACAGTAGTACTTTTAGTTCGGCGTCTATGGTACCACCCGACGGCGCGCCCTCTCTCACCTTCTCGGTCTTCTGGAGTGTAGAACCACGAATCTTCTTGAGCGTTCCCGCTCAACGGATTTCCACTCTGATCGAAAAGCATCTGCCATTCGAGAACCGGCCACTCCGTGTCGTCGCAGAAGGCGGGAATCTGCCGGCAGCGGTACCTACGGCAGCGTGCGACCAGGCACGCACACCAACAGGAACACTTTAAGCTGCAGACCTGCAAACTGTATCACACATCACCCGAATCTCTGAAGAGTTGGTTGCAAACGAATCAACAAAATTATCCCTGAATTCATTCGAGCATTCGCTACCAGACGGTGATTCACTACGCATTGTCCTTGGTCAGAGAAATTCCGATGAGTGTGGGCTTCCATATATATCACCACCATGTGATTCTACATGCCCTCATCATGTAAACCTTGAGCATATATAAGATCACAATTTCAGTATTGAACCGAAGCGGTGAAGTCTCCACGTCGAAAGGCAGAGGCAATTTGCTCACCAGTCAGGCATCTCGAATGAGTCAATGGATTCTTCGCTGCCACATCCAACCGTTGTGCCGTTGTTATCGAAGCACGTCGTCACGAAATACTTCTGGAGGCAGTCTTCGTACGCTTCCATCTGAACATCCAGGCTGAAAATATTCAAGTCCGGGAACGCCACCGAATCGGGAGTAGGTGCGTGAAGGTTAGAAGACTGGGCATGGGGCAGTTCGGCCGAATCGCTTCGTTAAGTGCGTTGCATCTGTCGGTGTTCGGCAAAATATTTTGGTGCTGGCCTCATGCGACCACCCGTGCAGTGAAGCTCCCTCACCTTGGGGTCGAGCACGTGGGAGGCTCTACCTCCCACTCGCACTGGTACCGGGTTGGGCAAGGCTTGCAGTCCAAGTACACGGCGAGCTGATAGTGCTGCCCATACGTGACGTTTCGTGACAGGGCGGAGAGGTCGAGCGTGACCACGGCCACCTGCGAAAGACAGCAAGGGGGGGCGGTCGCTGAACGCAAAATGTATGACCATCCAGATTCCACAGACCAAAGGTCTGCTTGGTTGGCAGCAAGCAGAGCAATGAAATCGCTGCCTCTTTCGACCCAATCGACATCCAACAACGCGCAAAGATCACGGTGCATCCGATGGTTGATCCCGTTGGTACAAGGTGGATTGCTTGTGTGGAATATTTCATGTGTAAAATGAATCAACGTTTTGGGGCGAAGAGTTGTACATGGTGGCGCGGTCGGGCATCCTCCTCACCTCAAGGGAGTCTAGTCTCAGGGTGCCGAGAGTGAAGTCATCCCTCCCCGTCAACTCCGAGAAGGCGCTACCGTTGTTGACGTGGTCCGAGTAGTTCGGACTGAACATGTACCGGTCAGGGATGGCGTTGAGCCTTCGCAGCACGCTCCCGTCGGCCTGTCGTTGACAGGTTCGTCCAAAATAGGGGTAGGGAATGAAGATGATCTCTCACTGTTCCGGGACTACTGTACATCCAGCTCAAGGGAAGTCATTCTCTAGCAGATCTCCCCCTGTACGATAGTGTCAGGCGACCTCGTTGTGCACGTTTCCCCTGGAGGGCAGATGTAATCTTGTTCAAGAGTCTTCCAACACCACAACGACGCACCTCGCAGTTGTAAATGTTCTCGCTGCCTGCGGCGGAGATGGTCCCGTTCGGACAGCGGAGAAGCCGTTCGCACTCACACATGTCTAGTCTCCCTGGACGACCTTCTTCGTCGATCCACACCAGATCTTCCAGTCTCTCTATATGGCATCAAGAAAAAGGCGCACCGGCGTCAAGGCAAAAAGGATTGCACGGGACAAAACGTTTTAATTTGTACCTGATTTCGGCGCCCTGGCCCGTCCCCGAGGGAGGGATGAAAAGGAAGCCCTGCGATGACTTTGGAAGGATGCACTCACCCCCAAACTCTTCAACGTAGCGCACGGCCTGGTAAAGGTCATACACGTACGGGTCCATCGCATCTCGACTGCCGGCGACTCTCTGCTCGTACTCGCTTTCGTACTCGCTTTCCACCGCCCGCTTCAGGCTTTCGTAGGTCAAGAAATCCTGAGACTCTGTCCACGTGAACTGCACTCTTAGCCCCACTGATGTGTTGAGGTAGAGTGCGCCAGCCGAGAGCTCCCAAATAGAGGACACCTATGAAAGGGAGACACACAGGCATGAATACCGGTTCACCCAGAGTTGCCACGAGCTAACCGGATTCTGACGTCATAATCAATCTGCAGAACTACATCCGTATCTCCAGTTTCGAAGTCGACCGCCGAGACCGATTCTCCTCCGAAAACAAGGATAATGACCGCCACGATGCGGGCACAAAGGCAATGATCGTCATTACTCACATCAGGGTCGTACGGAACAGCTCCGTAGGTGAGGTTCAGCCCTAACCCCGCGTTGTTGCCATCACCATCGGCGGACGCCCCCTGAAACTCGCAAACCTTGGAGCTAAGATGTTTTCGCTCGAACCAAAAGTCTCGTCCGCCGTTGTACTCTTCGTGGATGCTGGCGATACCGAGATCGTCCAGGTCTCCTCCCGTGCAGCGCCATAGCCGGTACACCCCGGCAATGACGTAGATCTTTTTTGTCGGAAATCATTTATCGGATGAGGAACAGGTATGTATGCAACGGTACGCGGGAGAAGGGGGGACGAGACAGGCATAGGGACGACGGGGAAGGGGTCAGAGATGGAACAATACTGTTCTAGCCTATGTCAAGTTGTGCGATCTTGCTGCACATGCCGAAGGGGGGGGGAATACCTGATTCACGCAATTGCACTCCTGTCGCTCGATGGCCATGCTAACGAGCCTCCACTTGTGATCGCGTGCGCACGACAAGTCCATGGCAATGGCCTCGTTTATCACGGACGGCCGCACGTTTCCCTCCACGTCTAGGTACGTGCCCGCATCCTCCAGCCCTCCGGCGCCCGCTCGGTCGCGCACGGCCGAGCTCGACGTAAGGGACGTATCATTCGTGTAAGGAGGCTTTCCTTCGCGTGCCACGCGCAGGTAGTCCACCGTGAGGCTGTTCGGCGGGTCTGTCTTCTCGCCCAGCCATCGGGTGTAGTAGCGTTCCTTGTGGCCCGTGTCGATGCCGGCCAGGCAGCGGAGGTCGTGGGCGCTGATCATGCGCACATCCTGTGTCCATTCATATTCCGTTTCGGTGGGTAAAGTGGGACCACGGTAGGAAGGATGACCAAAGGGTACATCATGGGAAGTTACCATGTACCCGTTAGCTTAGCACAAAATCGTAAGTGTGTTGTTCACCGCGGGTATCAACTGCTGGAACTAAAAGCGCCGCCCAGGTGACGAAGGACGTTTAGATTCATTTCGATGGTACACGAAAGCTAGGCAAACTGCTCGACAACAACGACATGAGAGATCTTGTCGCCGACAAAATTTCGGGCGCCGGCGCTGAGAAACGGTTTACCTTCAGGGCGAAGTCATCATTCCCGTCTATGGAAAACAACAGACAACTAAACCACCACGATAGGGACCATGACATAAATGCCGTCAGCAGGAAGGGAGGAAGAATGCAGGTACTCTCATACAACTGTTGACGTACTTCGTCTCCGAGGTACTTCAGGGTGTCGACGTTGAGGAAGGGGTTGGCTTGTTCCGCTGTCAGGCCCCTGTTCACCGCGTCGTCAGCCATCTGACCCGTGCGCGGGTCTCCCGTCCCCGTGGGGCAAAAGTAGTTCTCGTAGCAAACCTGAATTGATCATGACCCAAGCCAAGCAGAGATAAGCGGAGTCGGAACGTATGGGCGCGCTCGTGCGCCTTGCAGGCAGTGTCTCAACACCGGCCGAATTCTTGATTCTGCCGTACCTCTGAAAGACGTCTGCGGTGGTATCCGCAGCAGCTTACTTCATGAAAAACAACAGATGTCCTGTAGATCAAAGAAAGAGATGATCAAAGCACAAGCAAGAGCCTGGGCATGCAACGACGAGCATTGATTTCCAACTCCGCCTGAACATGGCTTATTTCGACAAGCCTCGCTTTCTTGCTTGTAGGAAAGAGGTAACCGCCACACTGTATCGTCGCCTAGGCCAATGTCGAACCAAGTCGTGCTAAGCTACGAGCCACACCTGTCGATAGGCCTGTCCGAGGCCTGTTGCGTCCGTGCACACGAAGCCAACCGGGCAAAGCTGAGTGAACTGCCCTTCGGGGGCCTCGAGATCCGGATCCGGCGTGGTGCCGAAGTCACACACGTAGCCCTCTCTGCAGGGGTGATGCACGCTCTCCTCGGAGTTGGAGGACTCCTCGCACACGTACCCTTCTGGGCAGGCTTCTGCCTCGGTGCTGCCCGACACATCGCAGATGATATCGGCCTTCGCAGTTTGGGCGGAGAATATTCAAGGGTAAGAAATCAGGATAAAACTGCAGAAGCGGTAGAGGTAAAGGCACTGAAGAAGAAAGGAAGCACCCATGCGAGTGATTTGGGGTTCGGCGGGCGACTTCGATATTACGTATGTAGTCAAAGGTCGCTGCTGATGCCGCACCTCGCACGTGCCCGGGTACCACGTATCGCTGACCAAGTTGATGAATCGTTGTCCTTCAGGGTCGTGATCCGGGTCTGTGTACACCATGGTCTCGTCGTCGTACGTGGCGCTGACGCTGTCATTGTTCATCAGCTAGGTAGGAAGCAGCGGACGGGACAAAAAAGAGCCGCGAGGGGTATTGAAATTCATTGCGCGGTCAGAAGTAGCCTTTGGCAAGGATCCCCGTCAGGCATTAATAACCCATAACAGCAAGGATTTCGGTACCTGGAACCCTGGGGTGCAGTTGAAGCTCGCGTCGTACACCCTTGATCGCGGCAGGTCGATGTAAAGGCTTCCCTTGCCCCAGAAACCGTCGTAGGAGTCCTCGTCACCGTACCCCTGGTGATGAACGCCCGTTTGGATATCGTACTGCGGCCCGTGGTAGTGCTGCATGTGCTGATAAACCTGTTTGCAGTGATAGCAACACATGCCCGGCAGAGGTTAGAGGAGGGTAGAATAAGCCACTTGCCATGGAGGTGGTTCTAAGCGGTTAATAGTACAGCAATTGAAGTAACGACACATGATACTTCGTGCCGCACACATGCACTGTCGCAAAGGAACGTGCGGAAGCATACCTTGCTGCCGAGGGCCTGCAGGTTACGGTAGCACTTTGCCTCTGACTGGTACAGTGTGTTGTCCGAATCTGTAGGCCGTAGATGCGCCCCGCGGCCGAGCTTGTCGATGTATGGCGGTATCAGCTCTCCGAAGAAGTACTTCTGTGCATGCCACACACAAATGGCGCACCAAAATTGCGAAACAAATCATCAGGGAAATCGGGTCGAAACAACATGACTATCGTTGCTCTTGCCATGTTGCCAAGGCACATCAAGTATGTGGAAATCGCAACCGCAGCTGATCCCCTCACCTGGTCGACCGGGTCCAAGGTGCCATCCGCGTAGCCATCGTTGAGGTGCAGGCACTCATACCCACTGAAGTACGCCGGCCTCGCAAACTCGCTGTAAAGGTACTCCAGCATGGGGATGTCGTTGACGCTCACGACGGGCTCGAAGGGAGTTGGCAAGTCGTCTTTGGAGCAGGGGTTGACCATTCCCTCAACCGAGCACACCACTCCGGTTGGACACCACTGGCACTCTCCAGCCTCCCTGAAGCATGCGGGAATGGCATACGAAAGTCGGTATACATAATACTGTATCTCGAACCTCTACAGACCAACAGCACACCTATCCCTACACCCTTCGAACCGTTGTAATTTTCCAGGGTGAGTTTCGAGGGCCTGCTAAGTACACAGGCGAACACAGGTTTTGCCGAGGAGTCCAAACCAGGATCAGACCAATGGCACGAGAAGCCAACCCGTACATACCTGACTTCCCAGTTCTTAGACCACGTCCCTTGAGGGCATGCTGCGCAGGGAGTTCCATCCTCGTCCAGCGTTGAACGGTATGTCCCGGGCGGACAAATATCGGCAATAGAAGTCCCGTCCTCCGCGCAGGTTGTTCCAGGCGGGCAAGGATAGCACTCCTCGGACTGATGGATTATTGTTGTGGCCGAGTTTGAGAAACAGGTGGTGCGAGTGGGTAGGTTCATGTCGCCTCGATTCCAATCACACAGAAGAAAAACGGTTCTGGTGTATGCCTTTACGTTCAAACGTATCGGCTGGCGAAGGTATTGACGGCTGGCGATGACGTCGACAGGTGGGTAGCTGACGTCGATGCTATACTATGCAGGGACCACGGAACTATTTTCGGAAAACCCCGCCAACAATAACAGTGCGATTGACTCATCCTTTTCATCTCCACCGCCACTACCGAGAGCAACAGCAACAACGACGAAAAAGGACTACAACGGCCGCTGTCGTATGGCATGCAATACAAATGCCCACCTCGATTGTCGGTGAGTAGAACCCAGGCAGACAGGCCGATGCCGATACCATCCCTTCCAGGTCGCTGAAATACCCTTTCGGGCTAGGGATGGGCACAGCCGTGCCCACTGGACAGTAGAAACCCCTCGGACACAGTCCGCTCCCCGTTGGCCCGGTGCTTGAAAGGGGGTTGCATAAGATAACGAATAGATGAGTGTTGTCAATGTTTGATGGTGCCTTCTCATGGTGAAATCTGTACCCTTGACAAATCTTGGCTAACTCACATTCAAATGCAATTAAACAGCGGGTTCTCCCCAGTTGTGGGTCCTGCCGCTTTGAACAAAACGCTTGGAAGCAAACTATCGCCACGCCCCAAAGAAATCAGCACACACGTTCATTAATGTCGGAAGATGGTACCCTGATGGGGCGAATAGGCCCTCATCGTGATCGAACTCCTACGTGCGCAGCATCGTGCAGAACTAAAATATGAGATCACCCTAACTCCCACCATGTTCCTCACATTCAATCCCTTGTTCTTATCAACCCCCATTCTGTGTCATGATCGTGCACACCTTGCTGTCTCGCAGAAAAAACCGGCTGGGCACGTCTGGGCGTACAAGTAGTCGCCAGAACGGACCTCGGAATAACCGACCCCGCCCAAGCAGTACGAACCCGGAGCGCAGGGGTATGGGCGTAACGTTGTGTCGTTTCGGAAAGGGTCGGAGGTCACGGTCCCTTGAGGACAGTAGAAACCTGGCATGCAACACACACAAATTCGCACGGCAAGCAAGAAAACCACAAGCGGTCAGGAAGAGTGACAGTAGAAGGAGCAGTAGAGTCAAATTTTCGTCCACACGAAAGGAACTAGGCGTCGAGAGCTTGTATTCCCCTCCACACACGGGAAGGAATGGGCGACATGCTGCTCCGATACAGCACTACAACAGACTCTAGCGAAGCTCCTCATTCGCCGGGTCCAAGCTTTTCTCACGTATCCACTTGTAGCCATCCCCGATATCCAGCGCACCAACTTATGTTTGTAAGTCCGTGCGTGAAATTGTTGTGTGATGCCAATAGCCACTCACCGGGAGGACACCGCTGATTTGGCGACGTAAGCAGAACCCTGCTGCACACCATCCCGGCCGGACACGGCGTGGGGTCGATCCTGCCAAACCCGGGGCAGATATAGCCCCTGGGGCAAGACGTGCACGCCTTCTGCCCCCCCATCGCGCTGAACTGGCCTGGCGGGCAGGGCATGGGGTCCCAATGACCCTCGCGCGGGCAGTATGTTCCCACGGGACACGACAGACGGATTCCCGTAGGGCAGTAGAACCCGGACGGGCATTCCCCCACCCCAGACGGTCTCGAGCTTCCCTCGGGACAAAACATGCTCTGATGTGACACAGTACAAGTTTAAGACACCGGGACAGGGGACAATACCCGTCACCACCGGGGAGGCCGAGCGCGCTCTACAACGGAATCGATTGCAGGGGAAGATGAGTACAAGGTGGAACATTGGGAAGTGTTGACACGTGATCTATTGAATGGGAAGGCGGGTGACGGGTGCAACGTATGGACGTTCTTCATTGGTCCAATCTTGCTACCATCAATGAAACGTGGAACGCCGGAATGCTCACCTCCAGGCAGGGCTGCGGCATGGTAAAATTGTGCATCCCGAGGTCGTCGGACGCAGATCCCGGGTGACAGTACGTACCCGCCGGGCACGGGACAGGACGGCGAAGGCGGAAAGAAGCGTAGTCGAAACCGGACGAGTCCACGACTCTTTTGCATACCGAAAAGAACAGATGGGGGAGAGAAGGGTTACACATATCAACCATTCAATCTGCAGACATACTGTAGGTGGCTATAACAAGAATTCATTCTCAGAATCTGCTCGCCGTGACCCAATAGGCATTCATAATGTAGGCTTCCTTACCTGTAGTCGTTCGCGTCGTCCAGTTTCGCGCACGTGCTGTCCAGGCAGTATCGGCCCCGTAGGGGCGCAAAGGGAGAATCGTAGGAGAGTGGCCTAGTGTGCGCTTCCATCCAGAACCTTCACGCGTTGATCAGTCAAGACGACGGGCAGTTTGAAGCGACGATGTTGATAATCGTACAACATCCACCACTGTTGCACGTATAGCATGCGAAGCAAGGCCACATCGACCACTCGTTTTTTCCAGTGGGGATTCCAAAGAGAACGGACACCTCCATGTCGTTGACGTAGGAATGGCACGCGGGAAGAGCTTTCGAGACACGAAACCAAGGACTCGTGTGTTTCGGCAGGACCAACGCGCTTGACGCACACACCCACGCTCAATCCCTCCCATACTGAAGCAGATGATAAACGAAGCACGCCTCCTACCCGTCTATGCAATAGGTCAGCCCAAAATCTCCGGCAACATAAACATGAAAGTATTCAAGCAATTCGAGCACGTGTAGAATAATGTTTGACAACAAGGGACATACGCGTGAAGGCATACGCACCTCGCAGGCATGTCCGACATCTGCAGCCCAAAGTCTTCTGTGGCATTATTCCAGCACCCGACTGCCCTAGATCCGAGAACAAGCTCGCTTCCGAGGGGTTCATATCCCGGCCGCAGCGTGGATGTTCGCTCCGCATGACTTGCGGTCGGGAACAAACGCGAACTTGGGCTGACACAACACAATCAACGGGGGGCGGGAAGACGGGCGCGCGGGGCAGGATTAGTTACCCTCATTGCTAGGCATCCACACGCCGGTTATAACAGTAACCTCGGGAGATTAAACGAATCCAGATTTCGGAACGAAATCAGGAAGAGTCGAACATCCCATGAAGCATGTTGAGTCCACCCTTGCATTCCCCTTTCTCTCTCCCGAAATACGCAAGAGCCTATCGAGGAAGAAGACTATATTTGAGAGTAGCATGCCGCCTCGCTGCACGCGGCGTTGTGTCACAAAGATCGATGTAGACCTTTTGATGAACAGACGACAACAATATTTGAATATTGTACTCCATGAATGGAGGTCTACCATTGAGCCGAACAGGTCATTGACGGCGAACAACCTCTTGAGGAATAAGGTTCACCAAATCCTTTTGGCAATTCACGTGCGACGGTTGGGTGTACGGGCAAGCACCCCAAGCACCCACAGTCAATAGCAGCTTTAGCCGGTCGTCCCTCAAAGTCTGCTGAAGAGATATCCACAGTTTTTGCCCTCGTTGCTCCTCCGGCGATCTGAAAAATACTTAAGAAGATATCCAAATACACACGTAGAATTCGAGTAGTGTTCATACCTTGGGTGGCCACAGGTTGTTGCCGTAGTTGCCGTCCCCTCCAGGCAAAAGTGGCCCTCAGGACAAGGCTGGTCCGCCCTCGCAACCCCGGTCACGTCGCACACGCGACCCGCGGGGCACACGCGGGGCACAGGCATGCCTTCGTCGGGGCAATGGAAACCCACCGGACAGCGCAGGCACGCACTTCTGCCGCGGCTGGGCTGGTACGTCCCGAGCGGACACAGGGTGAAGTTCTTGTTCGAGTCTCCGGGGCAGAAGGCTCCCTGGCGAAAAGACGTGGTCGATGGAGATAGCATCGGAGTCAGTAGGGGGGGGGGGGGGGGGGGGACNGTATTCGGCGAATCGTATGAAGGGTGCGCCGCATCCTGCTAATGGTGTTCGGCATCTCGTGCACACTTCCTTGCGCACGAATGACAGCTGCGTATGACGTATGACGTATTTTATTTTCTGGTTCTTCACTTCCAGAGACAGTAATGAGCACTGTGCAACTGCCTCGAGGGTGCTTGACCATTTCAACACAACGTGATGCGATCATCCCCCTTGCGTGGAGTGAGGGTTATCGACCACACACAACATGATCTACTCGACCACTATTATGGTTATCGCCAAAAAAAAAAAAGAGGTAAAAAACGAAACGGTAACCCGGTTGCCGAGTTCACGAAGTGAATCGGCTTGTTGTACAACGTCGTTGCCAAGTGACGAAAACCCAACCTCGATGGCAAACACCGGGGGGGTGTTGTACTCATACTCATAGTCGTGCATGCCGTAGTCGTTAGACCATTGACCTCGCATCCCTACAAAGCCGGGACGGAGCACGCCGGGTTCTCACCGGACCAGGCTCTCACATCACCAAGCGCGAAGCGCCGTGAGGTATTCGGCGAGTCGCGTGAAGGGTGCGCTTCATCCTGCTAAGGGTGTTCGGCATCTCGTGCTTACTTCTTTGCATACGGATGACAGCTGCGTATTACATAATTTATTTTCTGGTGCTTCACTTCCAGAGACAGTTGTAAGCACTGTGTAACTGCCTCGAGGGTGCTTGACCATTTTAACACAACGTGGTGCGATCATCCCCCTTGCGCGGAGTGAGGGTTCTCCACCCCGCACAACATGATCTACTCGACCACCATTATGGTTACCGCCAAAAAAAAAAACGGAGGAAAAAAAAAAAAACGGTAACCTGGTTGCCGAGTTCACGAAGTGAATTGGCTTGTTTTACAACGTCGTTGCCAAGCGACGAAAACCCAATCCCGATGGCAAACACCGGGGGGGGCGGCTTGTTTTACAACGTCGTTGCCAAGCGACGAAAACCCAACCCCGATGGCAAACACCGGGGGGGGTGGCTTGTTTTACAACGTCGTTGCCAAGCGACGAAAACCCAACCCCGATGGCAAACACCGGGGGGGGCGGCAAACATCGAGGGGGGTGGCTTGTTTTACAACGTCGTTGCCAAGCGACGAAAACCCAACCCCGATGGCAAACACCGAGGGGGAAGAGAGTCGGTAGGAGAGAAAAATTGAGGTTTGTTGCGGATGGGCGCGCGACGTCCGGTTATATCTGCACGGGCCGGTCTTTGGCTCCTCCACGACAGCGGCACTTGGAAAACGCCTCCACCCCTCTTGGATTGTCGCGTAACTCGAGTCGACGCACACCGCCGTACTTTCGAAGCCAAGTATACCCTACTTGGGGGCGCATTGTCAAGTAATAGTGCTGGGACCGGTGCGCTGAGTACACTTGTGCATCCGCCTCACCTGGGGGCAAGGAAGAATGGAAGCAGCACTGGGCCCTACGCAGAAGCTGCCCCCAGGGCACGCCTGCTCCACCGTGTAAACGATCCGATCGGCGGTGTAGTCAAGGCCGTTGTTGGACACTTCTACGTAGAACGAGTCCCCGTCGCCGTCCAGAGGCCCAAGCCACGAGTCTGGGGATGATCCATCATCGCCTTCCCGGGGACCGAACCCGCGGTTAGTGTCGCGGTTGTAACCGCTATTCTTTTCCACTTTGCCGGAATCCGCCGTCTCGAAAACAGCGGCAGCCGATTCTGCGGAAGAGCCACGTATCGAAGCCGAGGCGGCGCGCGGAACGAAGCACAGAACGATGCTGGCCGATAGGAAGGTTCCGGGAGTGTTTGAGCCGCCGATTCGGCAGGACAGCGAGGTGGAGTTGACGAAGTTCTCGCCGGTGATGAAGAGGGCAGAACCCCCTGGGTCGAGTCCGGCGGCGAGGGAGATGTTGTGGACGGAGGCGTCGGCCTGGTAGAGGAAAGTGGTCCCGCTGTCCGTGTAGTCTTGGCCGTTGCATGTGATCTGTTGTTGCGTACATACCCCGGCCAGCAGAGAAGGGTGGGCATTTAAGTCATACGTGAATCAACGCACCAGATAGAAAGCGATAGTGCTACTCTTTCGCTGCAACGTTTTGGCTGTGATCACGTGTCGAGATCTGGAAAATCAAAACTCTTCGGGCTGGTTGACCCTTACCTCCACTCCAACGGCCCGTTGGGGAAACAGTGGGTGATAGTGCGCGCCCGGGAATAGCTGCCGAGACCCCGTCAACGGGTCATATTCTCGCTGCCAGATTTCGCTCAAAGACGACCACCGTAGCCCGCTCCCACCGTCGTCGCTGTCCTGATTTACCGCTGAAACGAGGGGTGGCGACTCGCAAAAAAGTTCATTGGGGTTCACAAACTTGGCAGGAACAGGCGGACCGAGCCCAAAACGGCACGCTAACTTGGTCGTGTTGACGAAACCGCGGCCGTAGAAGGTCACCGCTGTCCCGGCCGCTTCGGCCGGCCCCGATACCGGCGTTATCCTTGCCAGCGCCTGAGACGAGAGCATCAATATGCAGGCAGATTATGCGGGTGAATACCATAGGATATGTTAAGGGAGAGAGATACTGGCTATGCAGGCGAACACCGTAGGGCCCATGAAGGGAAGCGAGAAGCCTGATTGGTGGTTGTCGATGCTCTGTTGCTCGTGCCGGCCCCGATGTTCCACATTTACAGCTCTTTCCAAAACGTTTCGTTCGGGAGGGAGGGGGGCATATCACCGTGAGTGCTCCTCAGACTATCCTTTTCCGTACATGTCGTTGCACAGCAGTACGAAACCCCTTGTTCTCTCTCAGGATCACAACCTATTGTTTCTCTGTACTTGGTTGGAGATGGTGTGCCAGCCCCATCGACTCGCCTGGTCATCGAAGTACAAAAACGGAAACCGTCGTCCAGTGTAGTCCTGATTGTTGAGCGAGAGCTCCAGGGGGTACGTCCCGGCCTCCATCGGCGGTGCATAGCACTGGACCTCAGACGGGGACAGCCTGGTCGCTAGGACAACTACTCCCCCGAAGCGACACCTGCAGGACGATTTACCAGGAGTAGGGCACGTCAGCGTGCTTTCTGCCTTTCGTGTCGGGCTTATCCGATGGCAGAGTGTGAGGTGTGTCACCACTACTGGTATTTTGTGCCAGACGAAATCGTGGGCGACGGGATGCGAAACGGCCGAGGTGGATGGCAACGTACTCACGAGCGGCAGAACATCCATGTACTATGATTCGAAACAAACATCACTAGTCTTCACGCCTGGTCGCAGTCAATCAGAGTGGCCTAAGCACCAAGCGTATAACGCTCCCAGCAGTAGATTTTGGGGCACATTCGGAGGCTTCTCATGACGACTGCGAGATAAGCACGGGAATGGTCTCTGGACTGCCACGGTGAAACGCGGGATGTTACTTTTCCAGCTCTTGACAACGAACGTTTTCCATCTACCTTAGCTCCGACGTGTCCGGGAAAGGCCCGCCCGACACACGAACGCTGAAGTTTCCCGAAGCCGGACCAAGGTGAGGCACCACGCTCCCTATCTCCGGGGTTGCCTCGTACCGGAAATATACACCTGATCGCGAGAACGTAGACCAAGGCGCAGCACCCCCTCCGACCGCAGCATTGTTCGTCACCTCGACTGCCGCTGCAGCGCCGACCGGGTGAGCCGGCGGCGTTAGTCTCGCTGGAGAGATGCACAACAATGCCGACGTGTTGAGGAAGGTGGCGGGGACGGTGACCCGTGGGTCTACCCCCGAAGGACCGAACTGGCAAGCCAGGCGGCTGGACGGCCGGAAGTTTTCCCCCAGGACAAGCACCTGCAGATGACGAAGGGTGTTGGATTGGTTGAAGTGAAGACAGTGAAGGTTGTTCGTGGCCAGTGACGAAGAGCATGTGCTCTTCAGAAGACGGCCGGCGGCTGCTTAAGTGCCATGAGCAAGCTCTCGTTACCGAGTTGATAGCACCATTCATCAATATCTAGTTGTCAGTGGCGGCCAAAAAAGTGTGTTTGTTTCTGAGCCAGATTCTACTCTAACTGCAGGGAGCGTGTGCTAAAGCCAATTTCGAGTTTTGTGGTCGAACATGGGAGTTTGGTCGACGTACGATTGAGATTCGTCACTCTTACACCCTCCAGCTCACCTCTGTCCCACCGAAGATAGGCCCATGGTCTGGCAAGAGCGCGCTTACGGACACCAAAGCCTCGTAGACGTACGTTACGCCGCTCGCCGTGTAGTCTCGCCCTGCGTTTTGAGACACCTCAAGCGCGACGACGCCTCCAACCTCTGTGGAAAGCCCTTTTGTGATCTCTTTCGCGTGTCCCGCGGCGTACGAGCCGACCAGTCCGGTCACGTCGACATCCACGAGAGGAAGATCCCCCCCGGTGGCGAAATCCCCGCTCCACTCCGTCGCCGAGTACTCCGGCGCCCACGTACGCCGCCAGTACTCCGCCAGCTCCGAGTCGGACGCGTTGAAAACGACCGCCGAAAGGGTTACGCGGAATCTGGCCACCGATGAGGAAACCCCGAAACCGTCAGGAGCTGTTTTCCCGATCGCGGCCTTCCACAGAATGCTGCTACCGTCGTCATCGCTTCCGGTTGTCGTGGTGACGGTTGCATCGATCACGGCGGGCAGAGCCTCAATTGCGCCTCTGACGTCACCAGGGGATGAATCAAAGCTGAGCAGGTGAGTTGAGGCCACCGAGCAGTAGACACCGGCTGCGCGCTCGTCGCAGCTCTGCCCGAACCTTAGGGAAAACCCGCCGCCCACGCCGGTTGCCGTGGAGTTCCTCACCGACGAAAGGTTGGCCTGTCGTGAAGCTCCGGCCAGCACGGCATCATCAGGCACAAGGTTCGTCGTGTTAAGGCTAATCTTGTCCCGAGTTTCGCTGAGCGCCTCTGCAAACAGAACCAACCAGGTGAAACCCCCACTAGTAGCAGAGCTTGTCGGGGACGCGACGGGCGTGCGCTCCACGTAGACTCGTTTCCCGGTAGCTTCCAGCAGGGCTTCCGCAAGGTCTGACGACGAGGCATTCCACCGCACAGGCGAAGAGGTGGAGTTGGAAGAAGAGGCGTTCGTTGCGTCGGCGAAGACGAAGGCGAAGGTTCCGCTGTAACCGTCGATCGTCACCCCTTGCACGTCCGCGGTCACCCCTTTCGACGTTTCGTTGACGTACACGCCGACCCCCGCACCCGCCAAAGAACTTGACGACCAGTTGACGCCGATGGCCGGGACGTCTCCCGCGGCGGCCAAGGCCGAGAAAGTCACTATCCACCTCTTACCGGTAACCGTAACGCTACCGTCGATGCCAGAATTCCCCTGGATGTTGTTGTCCGATGAGACGGTTACGTTTCCGCCGGAAACCGAAAACGACGAAATCGCGGCAGCAACATCGTCATCACTGGCATTGTGAGACAGAGACACCCAATGTCCCTCTTGTTCCCCCCCGTCTTCTGCAAGGCTCACGTTGAACTCCCCACCGAGAGGGGTGGCTCCCGCCCGCACAAGGAGAACCTCCGCGAAAGTTTCTCCCTCCCCGGAGAGCTGGGAAGCGTTAACGGTAAGCTCTCCCGCGACGCTGGTGCTATTACCCCACAAGCTGGTGCCCTCTGGAAGCGTCACCGTCCACGTGTAGGCGAGACTATCATCAAGCGGACCGACGCGAACAACGTCGGTGCTCTCCGGCAACCCGAGATCCTCCACAAGGGCAACCCTTAAGTCGGTCGCCGACGCGGCGGCACGGACGGTGGTGGTCGCGTTGTCGGGACCCCCTCCGAAATAGACTTCGTAGCTCCCGCCGAGGACCCGTTCTCCTTCGTAAATTGTCTCTACGTCCGCTGCTGCGCCGCTACCCGCCAACTGCGCTCTCACGGCCCGCAGTGGAGCACGATCGCCGGATTGTCCGGTGGCGACATAGTAAACGGAGTCAGAAAGCTCGTCGTCGTCTTCCACGGGCGTTTCTTCCAGCCGGCGGTGAGGGAACGTGATCTCCCAAGCGATCGGGCCAACCGTCGGCAAGGAGGCGTTCACGGAAACGTCCACCGCTCGAACCCAGGGGATTTGAGCGACGGCCAGCTCAACCTCGGCTGCCGTAGACCCTACGGATATCCATCCCGACCGGTGCTCTGGCCATCCCCTGGGCGTGGTATCAGCTTGCAGCATGAACCGGCCGGTGGGCTCGTTTCCTGAGGTTATCTCTAATACCTTGGCATGCACCCCGACCCCCGTGAGTCCGGCCGTTTCGACTGTCATGAGAGGCAGGTTTCCTTCCAGCTCGCTGCCGGAAAAAACTACGCGCCATTCCCGTCCTCCGTTTGGGCCGCTGTCGGCGGCCGTAACGGTGACGTGGTCTACGGCCGGTAGGCCCTCGAGGGCCGCTTGGACCTTCGTACGAGTTGTTCGGACAATGCACACAGCAACGGATGGAACGAGGGAATAGCGGTTATTGTTACAGTACCCACGTGTAATTTTTTCGGTTTTGGCTGGCATATCGATGTGCCACGTGCCTTCCTTGCTAGTGTATGGCTCCCTCTTCGATTTGACTGGACTGCTGTACGCTCCCTTGGCACGTGGGATAAGTCAGAAGAATGAACGGCGTCAGCATCATTTCGAAACCACGGCCGTCGCAGAGCATCGAGTTCGTCAAAAAACATACCTCTAGCGCTGAAGCGTTGAACGCGATTTCTTGTGTGGTATTTCCACCGAAGCCTAGCGAAAAGGACCCGCCAATAGCTTCGCAAGAAGACTGCGAAACCTGCTGGACATCGGCGTCTGACGCGCACTGGAGCTCCGGGATCCGACCTTCTGAGTTTCCAACGAAAGTAACATTCCACACGCCTCCCCCACTGGCAGATGCGCCTTCTTCGCTGGATACCCACGCTGGTCCGAGCGCGGTTGAATCCACCCCCTCAAGGGCTGACTCCACCGACGTGGCATTCGCGTCGAACGAGAAGGGGGCCACTGCGTAGGACGTGCTCCCCTGCCAAGCGGCAACGACAACGCACTCGTCGATGTACCCGGAGGACAAGAGGGAGGATAGCTGTACCACCTCTTTGGCGCACAGGTGCGACATCTCGAGCTGCCCATCGCTTCCTACTGTCGTGGACGACGCACCAGCAGCCGCAGCTTTCAAAGTTGCCGCAGCCCCGGTCCCAGTGAGACCCTCATCGCCAACAGTCACAACCGGAGGAGTGGCCGTTCTGTTAGGGTCATTCCAGTCCAAGAACGTCACAACCCAGGAACGCTCTCCATTGTAGCCCGCTACTTCTGTGCTCTCGGTGACAATAACGTTACCCGCGGCGGTGATGTTTTTCACCGCCGCCGACACTTCCTCGGCGCTCGCCCCGGCGTCGATGCGCGTGCTGGCTTCGCCATCGAGGGACAGGTACCAACTTCCGCCGAGGCGTCCTCCGGTGCCAGGGGACAGGCGGAAGACTCCGATGGAAGCGTCGCCCGTGTACTTGGACTTCAGAGTTGCGGCAGGTGCGTCTCCGATGCTACTTTCGTCGCCAAACTCCTGCTCACCGCAGCAGGCCTGCTCGCAGGGGCAGGGGGGTTCCGTGGGATTACAAATAAAGATATGGATCTGCACCCACGGTAGGTAGGTAGGATTAGAGGGCACGCCCCGCCACGGTCCTCTTGCATACGAACTTTCACTGCGCGGTGGGTAATAGATTTGCGTAGTGCGGCCGATAAGCATATTCCAAACCTCTGGTAAACATTCTATACACGTACACCGCTGCAGCAAAACAATGGGACCCACCTGTAACAAGGGCTGGGGCCCTGCCAACCCTTCGAACATGACATCCCAATCAAAAGTTTGCACGTCGATGCTCTTGGAGAGCTGAGAGGAGGCGTACCAAAGCGTGGCGGCGTGGTCGGCCGGGTAGTAAGACAGACCTTTGGGCTCGCTGCGAGTTACCGTTACGTTGGCGAGACCCGGTAGCGCTCTCAAGGCGCTCTCGACCTGTACCAACCGATGGCGTTTGGAGTAGGAGTGGCGCGTTCGTTCAGGTCATCGCGCGAGGAATACACAACCTCTGTAGCCAAGAGCGAAATCATTTGGATGCATCATCCCGCTTCTGAAAGAAAAAGAGGCCACCTACAGTCCACATTCTAGCATCGAGAAATAGTGCGCTTCGTGCTAGGTAAAAGCGGTGATTGTCAACAATCGGGCAGCACGCAATTGTCGGTGCAGCCTAGGAGAAGATCCGGGCCTTCTCTTCACCTTCATACTGAACGCAGAAACTTCCATGCCACAAAACGGAGCCAAACACGCTGGACTGCCTTTAATGCGTCACCGCCGTTGAATAATAGACCACTTGATCACAGAATACCCGACGTATGTAGTGCTATCAACCGTCCCAACCCACCTCGTCTGCCGTGGCGTTGAACGGCAGCTGATCTGTTTCCGTCTCCGCAAAACTGAGCGAAAACCCCCCGTACACCTCGGAACCAGCCAGAGTCGACAATCGCTGGATCTCCGGCGCCCGGGCCATCCGCGTTTCGACGATGTTCCCCGCTGCACCCTTTCCCTCCAGAGCGGCGCCGTCGAAGCCGAGCTCGGGGGCATCCCTTGCAGAGAGCGGAAACGTGATCGTCCATGTGTACCCGCCTCCACTCCCGTCGTTGCCGTCCCAGAGCGAAGTGGTATTGGAGGAGTTGGTACGGCTGACTGAGATATCCCCTGGAGTGCGGGCGCGTGGGTTGACGAGGAGACAATATCAGAAAATATCGAAGACCCCGGTTTCGGTGCAAGGGACAGCGATATGCGGTCGCTATGGTGTAGGCCGGTCATGGTCCTGAACTGCATTGATGAGAAATGTGTGGAAAGTCTCGCCAAACATCACACTCCCATGTGCTTGAATAGTAGTCTGCAACCCCGTTGAAATAGCTTCGCCTTCTCGTCAATGACCGCCTGTCGAAGCGGGAAATGCTAGTACGTCCACTACGCGCTCTCTCTTCTACTGTAAGAATCATCTACGCCTTACACTCACCTGCAGTTGTGTAGAGAGGGAGCAGCTCTTCCACCGCTACCCTTACGTCATCCGCTCCTGCGTTCCAAGCCAGACGCTGGCTTCTCCTCGTGCCGTTGTTCTCCCTGTCTACCACCCCGAGGTAGGCCCCTTGGGCATCGACCGGGTAGCCTGCACTTGAACGGCCGTTGGAATAAAGATAGAATGATCCCCCCAGGCTGCTGCCGGCGGTGTCCTCGGATACAGCTGCGAGCAATCCCGTACCGGATAGACCAGACGCGTTGATGGCTAGGGGAGGGACGTCCCCGCCGGCCGCTGGGAACGTCACTGTCCACAGCGAACCTCCATTTAGGAGCTCGAACCGAGTTACGTCTAAGGTGTCGGGTGTCGTGGAGAGCGACTCCAGGGCGTTCTTGAGCTGTTTGTCGGGGTACGAGGGAGTGAGGTTACCAAAGTACATAGTTTGTGATTTCCAAAGATTGTGCTACCAGACTTCGTCTAGAGTGGCCCTGGAAACGAATGCAATATCATGGAGTCGCTCGTCGAAAGGTAACTGTAACATCACGCGGGTCACTCTGTACGACGTGCGCTGCAACATCAACTGTTGCCCTCTTAATCTGACTGGTATTGCTTTTCGGTTTTCACCTCCGCAGCCGAAGCATCGTGGTCAACCACCACGTTGTCCATGTCGTTCCCAGCCATGCTCAGGGCAAACGAACCGGAAACCCCCTCGGACGTCCCACTACGTTCTTCGTTCACGGCGACGGTCACACCACCCCACATGGCGGAGCTGTCTACGGCAAGCACCGGGAGATCTCCGGCGTTGTTGAGGAAAGTCACCGTCCACTCTGGTACGCTGCTCGAGTTCCCTTTCGAAACTGAAACGTCTCCCACCACAGAGATCGCCTCGAGGGCGACTCGTACCTTGGTCAGGGGTCGCATCGAGCCGAGAGGCAGGTGAGGAAGGCGCGGATTCTATGGTTTAGCATGAGCTGCTGCAGAGATGGGGCAGAGAAGGATGTCAGGCGTTGCGCGTTCCGCGGAACAACGAGTCGAACAACAAGAGCCCTGGGAAAAGGACAGGGGTACTTCCCGGATGTTTCGGCCGGATGCTTGCCCGTGGACTATCCTGAACCGGGTCAGACAACGTCGGCCTGCCCCAGTCTGTTCCTCTGACACCGCTTGGAAGGTATATTCGGACGTCTTTTAAAATGTACCTCTTCGGATGTCGCGTTGTGAACAATGTCAGGCGTACTTTCACCCAAAAGGGAGAGCATGAAAGTTCCTCCGGACGCCTGCCCGCTCTGGTAGACCCGTTGGATCTCCTGCAAAGTTCGGGCAAGAAATATTCGGCGCGAAGTAGCAGTCGTTCAACGCCTGTCATAACATGTCACATGTTGACTGGAGAAGTATTTCCTCATTTTTCTGAGGAGGGAAATAAACACTAACGTCAGTATTCAATCTACGATATTCGATTGCAGTTGTATGGAAAAGTTGATTGCATGTTGGTGTGCAGACATGTGGGCCCTGTTGGGTCCCTCGGTTCGGCGCTCTTCGGGATGAAGAGCCGAGAAGACGCCCATCCAGCATTTCCCGCAACCTGGGGACTACAACAAGGTCCACGTCCTTTTCTTTCGATTACCAGCCTCACCGCGTTGGCCCTCTCTACAAAACAATAAAGTCCAGCACCGACCTCATTCTTTTGGCCTGCAATGGCAAGAGGGTATACTTAATTATTACACGGGCGATCGCGCAAGTTTTGGAAACGGCATACCCTACCTGGACGCTCCCACGGGTCTCCTCCATGACGACAACGGACGACACCACGCTGCCGACGTCGCCGTACCCGACGATCATGGACACGTCCCCAAGGTCGCTAGGGAACGTCACCAAGTAGGACCGCCTCGTGGGCGTCGCCTCTTCCAGAGAAACGGAAGAACTTCCAAGGCTTCCGGTAGGTCCTATGAGGTTGGTCTCGATGGAGGCCTGAACAACCGCGACTCCCGATGAGAAGGGGAGGGAAGATGCAACCCCGCCCTCGAACTCGAGCGAGAACGTCCCACCGCCTGTTCCGTCGCCCTTGAAGAAAGTTATCGAGTTGGGGGAGTAAGGTTACGTGAAGGGCAAGCGTTGTCTTCGGGGCTTGGAGGGAAGTGCTTTCGCCGTGACGGATCGTAGTGCTTGCAGAATGCACAAGTTTTCTATTTATGGTGCTACTGATGCCCGGGGAGTTGCATTGCGTCAGATATTCGACTCCACTTAGTGTTCGTTCGAGCGCTACGGAGCTAACCAGGGCTGCTTCTCCGTTGTCTATTTATAACCCCACATCGTTGCAGAAACCATGTGTAAGCTTGTATTAGCATTTTGTTCACCGTACCTCAACCGTTACGAGCTGCTTCTCGGCAACCTCTGAAGCCGGAGTGGACGCCAACCCGTTTTCGGCGAAAGCTTTCACGACGATTGACTGGACTTCACGTTCGTATTCCGCGTTGAGTCGCAACTCCTGTATCTCCGATTGTGACGTCTCGACGGATAGAGAAACGGTCACCTCCACCGGCGCAAGAAGATCCTGCCATGTGGTTAATATGGACGGAACAACCACAGGAATCATGTTTTCAGGCCAATGACACTCCAACAAGATCGATCGTGAACGACCCTCCCTTAAGACGTAACATGAGGCGGATTGGGTAAGGAAAACGACGCACAGCGGCGTGACTGGGGGCTCGCCGCGTTTCAAACAAACGTGCGCCCTATTGATAACAAAATAGGAAAAAAAATAAAGCTCGGGGTGCACATCGTTTCTGCCGTGACATGCTACGGACACATACGTGTAGGTATCTGCTATCTGCCAACGCGCGGGACGGGCATCAACGCTGCTCTGGCATGGCTGCACAGAATCATGGGAACCATATTCACAGATTCGCTTCGTGTGGCAATTGGAACCGTGCAGCCCTCGCAATCACGACGGAGGAACCGAAATCCCGCGGAATCTGCATGTGCGAGTGCACAGCAGATCGGTTCGAAACCGTAACCACTCGCACATACCTGCGATGTCGTGATCGTCTGGACTTCATCCACGTCGTCATACGAGACTGTCACCAGCTGCACCTCGGGCTGCACCGCATCGCTGCCCGTGGTTATGTTGAAGACCTCGGGGGAGGGCGCGTCCGCCACCACCGAGATTGTTTGGATCTCGGGGGCCCAAGCTAGAGTCCAAACCTGTTGGTAGAGCGCAAGGAAGCGATCTCCTATCGGTCGAGAGTCTCATGTGTATCACCAAAATGGGAAAAGCCTAGGTTTTCTATCGTTTCCAATTCTTTTGCGCAAGTACTGCGAAACGACCGCGGAGGAAGAAGCTTCTGCGTGACCCAGGGCGGTATGTCCAAGCATGCCGAAAAGTATATCACGAACTCAACGATGTAATGGATGACAACCAAATGCACAAAAGCTGCCTAAATGTGGTACTTCGCACCTGCGAATGGCTACGGGCAAGACAAGACAGTAGGCTGGACTATCAAGAGTTGGTGCACAGAGCACGTAGAATGAAATCTTGTAGTGGCTGCACGATGATCTTGTTACTATCGTGTTTTACCTCGACGTCTTGTTGCTCGGGAACCGGGGGCATCGGAGGGGCCCGGCACGATACCAAACCAGTCGCATGCACAGTTGCGCCGACTTCCTGATCCCCGAACCGGCACAGCACCATCTCCTCTGATCCCTCCCCAGGAGGGCCCTCATCCCGGAACCCAGTGCCTTCGACTCGAACCGGATTTCCACCAGTAACCGGGCCGTACGCGGGTTCGACCTCGAAAACGTAGGCTTCCGGCCGGTAGTAGTACTGCGCCCCGTGGTTCGTAAAGTCCTGGCCGCCGTTGAGAGATAGCTGCACGGTAACCGTGGAAGGGAGATTGTCCGGGGCGGGAGGGGACCGGCAGAGCACGCGCCCGACACCGATTTCGCGCCCATTGACGTCAACGGCGACGTCCCAGTCAAACGACAGCCCGGAAGCCGCAACCAAAACGGCAGAACTTCCGGTCCCGTTGCCATCGGCGCTGAACGAACAAACCGCGGAAGACGGCGACAGCTGAACTGGAAAAGAGGCGTTGTTTTCGAAGGACGAGGCTTTCATCGCCTGGTGCGAAAGCAAAGCCACCGCGGCATCCACGATGTGGCGGCTGGAAACCTCTACGAGCGTTCCGCCTTTCACGGGGCCGCTGGGCGGGAACAGTGACATCTCCCCCTCGTCCGGTAAGTAGAAGAACTCCAGGGCTCCTCCGGCGCTTGCGGCATCTACTCCAAAGCCGCCCGTTCCACCCACCGGCGCCCCGTTCACGGACACCGTCACCAGGCTGACGCCTCCGCTGGGGACAGTCGGCGGGGCGACGCACTCCACAGTATCGTTGGAGACCACGGTAGCCGGGACTGACGTCCGGTTGAAGAAGCAGGTCGCCAGGGCGTCGCGGACGGGGTCGAAGGCAAACGGCCACCCTTGTTGTTCCGACGAGGCGTTACCCATGGAGGTTGTCCCGTTGTCCGGCCCCGTGGTCGTTGCTAGCGAGATGGAGACGATAGTACCGCCGATGGCAGGGCCTGCCGGTGGGTTCAAACTGCCCAGCAGGAACGGGGGGTGATACGTGAAGACAGCTAGATCCTGGTCGTTGTCGGCCGCGTACATGATCTCGCTGTTGTCAGCGACCGTGGCAGAAGACCATTCCACCCCTCCGTTTGTGCTGACAGCAACTTCCACTGCTGGGCCGTAGCCGGCTTGGGTTGTTTCGATGACACCCGTGACCCCCGACCCCCCTAGATGGCCGGAGTCGACCGACAATATCTGTGACCGAGGTTTCAATGAGGCGGCGAATTGTGGTAAGGCTTGATCACGGATGGCCTATTCGGAGACCGCGGGCCGTGGTATTTTCTTCTCTGAAACAGAACGGCGTTCGTCGGCTTGCTCCAAGCTTACTACGGCGGCGTATCGAATGAGCCGGTGGGCCGTGGTATTTTCTTCTCTGAAACAGAACGGCGTTCGTCGACTTGCTCCAAGCTTACTACGGCGGCGTATCGAATGAGCCGGTAAACTTAGGCCTGGTGCATGCGTCAGGTGAAAGCGACATAGGCTGCACTAACAGCTCGCCCTCTTCATGAATATCTCAAATGCTCGCCGAAAGTATATTATCACTTTAGTCTTGAGCGAGTACTTGACCACAGCACTGCCTGATCAGAGTGGGCCTACGAAAGACAACCTCCCGGTCTACTTGCACTCTTTGAACTGTGCTATCGTTACCTGAACCTCCCCCACGTGCGAAGGATAGCCCAGTGCTGTGAACGATATCTGCCATCGCCGACCGCCCCTTCCGTCTTCCCTGGAAGAGCTCTCGTGCAGAGTGACATTCACGTCACCGACTTCATCTAGAGCCTGGCAGAACCACAGAAGCATGGTACGAATGGGCCTTACGTCCTAGGGTACACAGCAGCGCGTTGGCGCTGGTCGATCCACGCGGGAACGGCATTGTCGCAACATGTGCAATAGTTCGGCTGGGCAGCACGTGGTGAGCACCGTCCGCGGTGCAAGCTGTGGTGGTCATTTCCGACTGTTCCTTCTTCAACATTACTAATATTTTTCATTGGCACTCGCCCCCTTTCCCCTACAGGCGGTCATTGAATATCCCTTTATCGGTGTCGAGTCTAACGGCAGGTCATAGGCCCTAAACGAGAAAATCATAGCTATCCATACCATGTAATATGTATAACAACTCTCAAGCACCGATACGATAAATCGTGTGGCAATGTCTAGCGTTGCCCTCACCTCAAGAGCCTCCTCAACGTCACCCGCCGTGGCGTTGAAAGCCAGGGGCCAAGTCGCGTTTTCCGCTCCGTATTTTAGAGTAAAGTTTCCGAAATGTTCATCGAAAGACCCGTTTACGGCGGTGAACACCGTTATCTCGGCTCCCTGGGGACCCGTTAAGTCGTCGTTGAGCACCTGATTGGGTCCCATTCCACACCATGCAGAACAGTGAAAATGAGATATCTGAGAAAAAGTGTAGGTACGGCCCCAAAACGCCAGACACTTCAGCGTTGTCTAATGCACAAGTCATTTAGACACCGTGGATATGCTTGAGGTATAAGTGGCAGGATGATCCCGCCGAGCCACAGGGATCGCCCATGAAACTGCCGCGCATAATCCAACGCACAGGCTGCGTGTTCATACCTGAAACAGGGCAAGGGCGTTTGGCGCGTTCCCAAACATTTGATCACCAAGCAGTTGAAGCGAGTGAATCTTCAGCGGAGCTGTAGGTTACGCGTTGTTGTTGTCGACAACTTTCCAAGGTGACGAGCCACCACAAACAGATGCCTCATCTCACATGAGCAACACCGTGGTAAATTGACACGCCTTACCCTCAGCTCTTCCACGTCACCCTCAGTGGGAGAAAACGTGAGACGCCACTCGAACATGTCTCGTTCGTTGATGTTTGTGTCACTGGCTAGCAGATCTTGTCGATCCACGAGCACCAGCCCTCCCCAGTATCTCATGCCGTTAACGGCCTCCGCTACTTCCATTGCAGAAGCGTTGAAAGCCAGAGGGGTTGACACGTGGGAACCCGAGACAAGGGTGAATTCTCCCCCGACGGAGTCCGTTCCGTTCGTCGTCTGCAATAGAAATTCAGTAGAAATAGAAACACAAAACAGCGGGGGAAAAGTTGGCCCAGGTGTAGAGAGAGTGTTACTTATACTATCCAGAATACAGAAAAATAACTCCCAAATAGACCAATTAACCTCGACAACGGTGGCACGCATCTGACTGACAGCGTTACCAAGGGGCCTTTACGACCACCCTGATTTACTGCGTATATGGTGGTAGATACCCCACCGATACCGACATACGCCAAAACTCTTCCCAAGACATCGCCAGCAAACACCACCAACCTCATTGACGTACGCGACGGCCGCCTCTAGAGCCACCCCACCAACGTCACCAACTGTAGGCGTCAGTGCCGATCCGTTCACTCGAAGCACCGGAACGTTGCCCCGACCCATGGGCCACGTCACAGTGAACACCCGGCCGCCATCTCCACCGTCCAAGAGCTCGACCTGTACGGTCACATCGCCGGCCCCGGACAGCGCCTCTATCGCCGCCTCGACCTCTCGAGCCGATACATTGTGCGCCGCCAACGGACCAGTAGATTCTTCAGTCCCGTCCCCGTCAAACGAGACTTCAAACGTTCCACCAATACCCGCCACCCCATCCGTCAACGTTTCCACCTCCAGTGACAGAGTGCCGCTAGTTGTGCGGGTTTCTAGAGAGGTGTCGGCGGTAGCGACCAGTTGTGGACGATCCCCGACCCCGAGGTCGTTGAAAGTTACGGTCCACGCGTACCCGCGCACCCCCGTTCGAGAACGTGAGACGGTTACGTCGGCGCCACCGATGTCGTCGGGTTCTAAGGCTCGTATGGCGGACGCGAAAGCTTCTGCGGAGACGTCATGGGCCAGGGGCTCGGTCGAACCTACGTCGGGGTATGTGACCGTGAACTCGCCGGAGAGCGCTTCGTTGGCCGCAAGAGTTACCACTTGGACCTGACGCGGCAAAGGTGGACGAGCCTTAGGCGAAGATTTCATGGTGCAAGGTTGTTGAACTCCCGCGGTGCTACCAACAACGGATTTCGCATCTGTCAACATCGCGTTCTCCAGAAAACATTGGCCACCGCAATGAGGTTGAAACTACGTTCGAAACGAGAACCGTCGATTTGTTGTGGACAATTCAAGCATTCCAAGCACACTACATTGATTCGATACTGCCCTTCGCTCTCCCTTGGGGGGTCACAGCCCCCACCACATGTAGCATTGCTGGGACAAAGTACAACACGGATGGGTGGTTCGCGTCTTTGTGTATAGGGCATTACTTCAAGTACGCAACGCAGTAACGTCACTATGGCAAATAGTCATTTACTTCTGTACCGAAGTGCAGCAGCTAGGTCCACCCACCTCTGCCGTCGGCGACAGTCCCGTCGTAACCGTCACCGTCTGAACCTCCTCCACCAGGCTCGATCTGTTCGTTCTCAGCACCTGCACCTCGCGCACGATGCCATCGCCGTCGTGCCCCCGCTCCGCGACGTTCACCGAAACTTCCGGGGTGAGCACCGGAAAGCCAAACACGTCTTGGTTGAACCCGTCCACGGCCGTGTCCTCCGAAGATTTTAACCGCAAATCTGATACGTCTGTCGACAGCACCGGGAGGTCCCCACCTCGGGCGGCGAAATACACCGTGAACAACGTCTCGTTCCAAGAGAGACCAGCGTACGGGTCGGAGAGGGTCCGGTGCTCCGCGGAAACAGAAGCGTTGCCGATGTTCGGCAGAGAAGATAGAGCAGTCGCCATCTCACCAGCGGTAACGTTTGCACCCATGGAGACCGTCGAGTAGTCCTCGAGCGAGAGCGTCCAAGTTCCCGATCCCGAGTAGTGTGAAGAGGCGTTTGGCTGGCTAGCCATCGGCAAAGGTATCCTCAGCAAGACTTCTTGTGTGGCGTGGAAAACGCGGGCGCTCTCCACTTCAACCGATACTATGGCCGCCACGTTGGTGTGAGATGAAGAGGTGCACGAGACGGCGCTGTCCGATATGTACTGGGCAGGGGCGGGGGGCCCAAGGCCGAAACGACAATATAGCTCCGAATCATCGTACCCTCCCTCGGGCGGAGAAAACCATGTTCCATGCACGACCACCGAGGTTCCGCCGCCATCCACTCCTAGCCCCGGTAATGCAGCAACCACAGCTGGTTTAGGGAAGTACGTGAACGTCAACGGCGCCGTGAGATCAACTCCACCGTTTCCCGACAAGCTCACGAGCGCGATCGCACCCCAGTCGTTGTCCACCCAGTCTTCGATGCTAACGCCGGGGAAGAAATCCTCAAGACTCGGCATGTCGCAACCGTAACCTTCTTTGTTCGAAAACGTAGTGACTTCCGCGGTATGCAGCGAGCTTAATAGCTCTACTGCAGGCGCAGAATACGTGAGCGCTTTGTAGCCGCCGGTGATGTTGCTTGGAAAGCGGACCTCGATGACGCATGAAACGTCGGCAATTCCCACGGCTGCAAATGAGCCTCGGCCGATGAAGACGGCCGTTGTGTACACGCCCGCATTGGACCCTCGACGGGGAGAAAGCGCCTGCAGTGTGACGTCTTCATGGAATGTGAACGCCGCCGTTGTGGTCGAAGGTGAGACAAGTGCGGGCCAACGCACGGACACGGACATGGCTCCCGTCTCCCGCAGAGGCGTGAACGGAGACGCGCACGTGACCGTTGTGGAGTTTAGCCGAGTGGCTGGCGATTGGAGTCGACCGCCAAAGACGCACACAAAGTCGCCGCCGCGCGTGTCATTGCCTGATGTCGACGGGAGGTCAAACCCAGTGCCGGACAAGAAGACGGCCGTGCCGCCTGATGCCGGGCCCGAGCTCGGCGTGACCGATCGCACCGTGGCTCTGTCTTGATAGCGAAAGGCGGCCGTGGTACTGCTCCCCGTGCCGTCGGATCCAGTACTCGTGTAGTCCGCCCCGCCATTGGCGCTGACTTCGACCTCGCAGCAGCCGGCCGATATCTCCTCTACACTCACGCCCACGGTAGTTCCCGTGAGGAAAGATCCGTCAGCTTCGAGCAGCGGGAGGTCTCCGATGTTGGTGGGGGTGCCCACCGTGGTGAATTCTACCTTCCAAGATGCTGCTATTTCTAAGGAATTTTGATCAATGGGAGCATCGGACTTTTGGTGCGTTTCGGCAACCACGGTTACGTCTCCCACTTGGGGAAGAGACTCCAGTGCCTGCTCAACAGACTCTGCGCTGGCGTTCCAGAGGAGAGGTTCGCTGACGTCACCTTTGAACGCAAGGGTGAAGGTCCCGCCAGCAGAATCTGCGCCGTCGGTACTGCGATAGACCTGCACGCTGCCGTCAGTTCCGTGCAACGATGACCACGCCACCTGAAGGAAAGCAAGAAAGGGCGGAGAGAGCGGGGGGTTCCGTCATATGGTACTCCAAAGGTTCGACGAATGTCTCTCCTCGGGTGATCCCGGCGTTGTGGAGCGTGTTGCCGATCCGCTTCATTGGGTGAGTGGTTGCTCCTCTTCTTCCACTCTCTTTCGGGTTGAAGGGTTTGTTCTCTGTCCATGCAGCACCCCTCAGTTTGCAGCATAATTCTCGTGCCTACCACACTTGGTCGTTTCAATAGCTTGACGGTCTTCACGCTGTTTTCCGAGCAAGAATTACGAAGATTTCGAACTTCCGAATACTTTGGAACACGCAGGACTTCTCATTTTCACGGTCCTCGATAGTTCTACGTTGTTTGAGAGAGGCCCGAACACTCTGTGCCAATCACCCACTTGGTGACTCCCGGGCGAACACACACACGGGTGTCGTACGTGGCCAATACCACACGTCCCCCATCGCCCAGCACAGAGCAACTCACCTCCATCAGATCAATATCCCCATCCAGGTCTCCTCCGGAAAACGCCGCAATCCATCGAAACCCGGCCTCGTAATCCTCTCTCCACACTTCAACGCTATTCTCATCATTTTCACTGCCAGCAGAGGCAAGGAGCGCGCTGACCGCCTCTTGCATTTCCTCCGCGCGCGCATCGAACGGTAGCGCTGAGCCTTGCAGACCACCGATCGAGAGGGAAAACTCGCCGCCCCACCGCGATCCCCGGTGCACCTCGCCAACGGTGGTTTCCGCTCCGGTCCCGTTAAGCCCCGCCGCCGACGTCGTCAAAGACAACCCTCCAATGGGAGATGCCGCCCCAGATGCGCCAGCAAACGTCACGAGATAGGTACAGCCTGCGCTCCCATCCCCGCTGGGCAAGAAGTTTACGATCTCAACGTCGACAGCGGCCACGCTGCTCAGCGCTTCGAGAGCCGTCCGAACCTCGGTCGCCGTGGCGTTGTGATCAAGAAAGGCGGTGGTTTCGACTACCGTGCCCCACGCCGTATCGTCCGTCAAGTCGTCATTGGACGAAATCGAGGACGAGACCGTGATTGAGAACCTGCCGGAGAGTGGGGCACCGCCGGCGGAAGCCGCAAAGAGCTCCGTCGTGCAGATGCCCTCGCCCGTGTAGGCGGCCGTGACGTTCGCTCCCGCGGCGCAAGAGAAATCGGCGCTCTCCATGGCTCTTCCGGGGGTCGAGTCCCAAGACACGTCCCAGGCGCGGTGGTCTCCGGCGAGGCGGAGATCGGCCGCTCCGACAGCTGCTACACTTGGGTACACCCCGAGCGAGGAGAGGTCTTGGCGGAGTATCTGACAGTAGGGGACGAGGAGAGGCGGAGGTATTACGAGATCTAGAGTCAGATTATGTGAACTAAACAAGCAGCAGAATGTTGCGGTTCGCCTGACCGAACAGTTGTCGAACCGTCAGAACTCGACCACCAAAATGGAGCAAGCTCTGCTGGTACACATATGCTTCCCGAGGTTCGGAACTACCGGCACAGTGTGATCAATCGAACGACAAAGTACTCACGTCCTGCAGATCGTCGGCCGATACGTCCACAGAAATCGCGCGGGTCACGACGCCTTCAAGGGACAGCGCAAACATTCCCGTCGATTCCAGCGTCGAAAGCGCAGCCACGAGCACGCGGTGAACCGCCGGGCTCGCCGCTTCGGCAATGCGCTCGACCGAAATCACCCCGCGAGTTATCTCATCGTGAGCAACCGCAATGAGCGGCGCCCCGCCGGCGCGGGCGACCAGGGAGTAATCGTCGAACGTCAGGCTCCAGATCGAGCCCCCGTCCAGTAGCTGCTGGTGGTCTACCGTGATCGAGCCCCACTCGTCTGGTAGATTGGAGAAACGAAACAGTTGGAGGCGCACCGCACGGAATGAAAAAAAGCAAAAATATATTTGTTACAGGCTGCAGGGTTTCTGGGCATGAACCTATGTTATCCTTTGTTTGGAGAGGTCGAGCACGTTTGCGTGTAGTAGTTTCGTTCCAACGCTCCGAGAAGCTCGGAATTACGGTACTGGCAAGGCAGCATGACTTTATTAACTCGATACTCTAAGGTAACTGTGAATAATACGCCTGCAGCATTTTTGTGATACGTCCATGATGGGAGGTGGTTCGCTTGCCCTGTATCACGTCTCCAAGCGCCTCGACCAGGTTGGCTGCGCTCGTGGACGCATTAGCGGTGTTTTTGAGAGGTTGAGCACGTTTGCGTGTAATAGTTTCGTTCCAACGATCCGAGAAGCTCGGAATTACGGTACTGGCAAGGCAGCGTGACTTTAATAACTCGATACTCTAAGGTAACTGTGAATAATACGCCTGCAGCATTTTTTTGATACGTCCATGATGGGAGGTGGTTCGCTTGCCCTGTATCACGTCTCCAAGCGCCTCGACCAGGTTGGCTGCGCTCGTGGACGCATTAGCGTCGTTTTCGAGATCAACGTCGAAGACGTCGAAACCGTCAAAGGACAAGGAAAAGTTTCCTCCTATGCAGCAAATAGCTGACGCTTCCCGCAAGGTCTCCACTCCTACCGAAGCCACCCCGACACCCCCGTTTGTCACTGTCATCGTGTCCCCCTGCCCCGAGCCTGATCCGTACTCCACCGTCGTGCTGTTGACGGAGAGCTTAGGAACGTTGGCTGCGAGATCTAGGAAGGTGACAGTCCACCTGCGAGAGAGCGGATGATGCCGTAGTCAATAATCGACCAGGTAGGGGGGAAGGAGGGGAAGCGTTGGCGGTGGTATGTTTCGTGCTAGTGGGGAGTTGGCCTCGGGAAATCGTCGGCGGATCCAGAATTGCCGTGCTTTCGAAGAGGAACGAACGCACCGTGAACCCCTTTGAGCGCACCACCCATCGTACCCGCAGGGGGGCTTACCGTTCCAGTGTAGCATGGAGAACCTCGTAAAACCACAGGGTGTATCGGAGCTCCACTTTCTTTCACGAGCGTTTTCCTCTCAAACCGTGGCTTCAACTGCTTCGCTTTTCGAGACAAAAGACAGTCATACCGTCCTTGCGCAAGTACGTCGTCGACTGCATTCCATGCTTCGAATCATCTCGGTCATTTCCATGTCACAACTCTACACCAAAATCCGACGTTCTGACAGTGGTTTTCTGAAATACACCCACCTGTACGACTGAAGACCCTCCGCTCCGTTTGCCTCTCGCGAGACGTCTATGGTTCCAATGGAAGCATCGAGGGAATACTCCGCTAGAGATGCTATTGCGTCCTTCATCTCGTCGGCAGAGGCGTCGTGCGCCACGGCTAGGGAAGCACTTGCAGAAGTATTGGCCGCCTCCTCCATGGTAGAAGAGACTTGCTCAAAGGAAAGCATGATCTGTAAACAGCACAAGGGATTGATCTGAAAGGACGACTTCTATGAAAAACCGTTCGCTCCAAAGGTGGGACGCTGCTACATGCGGACAGGCTTATTGGATGACCTTCGAGACACATACCTCTCCGAATGTCTCACGAGAAATACCTTCGCCACACGTATTTGCTGCGCAACCCTTTGCGACAAGCACAATCCAACAAGTAGGTGTGTTTCTGTTCTCTGGAGGCACCACCAAAAAAAGCACTTTGTTGTTCAGTGCACTCCGGTCACGTGACCTGAGGGTCGTGCTAACAATCGCAATCCCCAGCAAACAAGGCTCCCAATAATCTAGAGCACGTGTGGTCCTCTAAGCACCGTTGTTGCTCGAAAGCAGGAGAGCGCGCACCTTTCCAGACAGCGACCCTAGCGTGCCGCGATGTACCCTGGTAACGTTGAGCTCCCCCCCGGTCCCAAGGGTCCCTAATCCTAGCCCGTCGTCACCATCCTCTCCTCCGGCGTACAGCAAAGGAAACGATAGCATCGTTGCCGTTTCGTCGATATCCGTATCCTCATCGCGGTCGACACTGCTGTACGCCGACACCATCGGCCCGGTGAACGTGATGCTCCAAGCGTAGAAGTCGCTGTCATCCCCTTCTTCGCGGGTGACGTCGACGGTCCCCACGTTGGTGAGCTCCTCGAGAGCGGCTTTCACGTCTGTTGCTGAGGCGTCGAAGGCTAGGTCGTCGGTTTCCTCTGCTCAAGCACGTTTAGTGCGACAACGAGAAGTCGTGGGCGGAGGGGACGGTTCGGGGTTTGAGATGAGATATTGAAGGCGTGATTGAGTTGCAGTGGAAAAGCAGACGGTCTCCAAAATCGACTCCCAAACTGATTTTTCCGCCCGCGGGTGAGAACCATGGAATGGACGAGGGGGGCGATACATCCATATTCGGACAGAATCTCGCTCCGTTAATCCACCGCCTCTGTGATTTACGTAGGGTTAGGGTGACTTTGCAAGCCCGCCATGGACGCATACAGCCGAGAAGTTAGTGTGGGACGCGCGCGACAAGCGGTGAGATACAACAGTACGCGCAAATGGCCTGGTGCGTATCAAACGGCGAAAGCAGAGAAAAAAAATGTAGGATACGCTGTTGATAAGGCACGGTGGTACTCAGTCGTTCCCAGTATGTCTTTGCGAAAGACGCTTCCCCCACCTTCGACAAACCCTAAGAAGAAGGTTCCGGAAGGAGTTCCCGCAGTTTCCACCTTTTGTACCTCCAGCTGGGTGCCCTTCACCACCTAATATTTCGAAGGCGCAGAAAAGGACACCGTCATTTCAGCCCGATGCAGAATAGGATGGATAGTGCCGGACAAACAGGAGAGGGCCATGAAACTAGTTCAGCAGTTCTAGTTGATCACGCAACAGCGGGTGGGTTCCGCTATCTCGACGGCGCCATAAAAAACAGTGACCAAGTCACCGTGATGCCAAGCACGACCAAGCATAGACCCACACACACACTCGGTTCAACGATCATATAACAAGTCCAAGATCGTTCGTCGTACGCCGAACACGTGTGCGTGTCTGCTTGATACCCCTGTATAAGGAAACCAACACAACTTCAGTGAAATATTGTTGTGCGGCAGGGGTTGGATCTCAAGTTTTGCCGTGTTCTGTGAAAACTGTTCAACGTGTTAGGAGTTTTCCAACCGTGAGAAAGGACGATGCCTAGTAGGCAATGAACTATTCAAGATACACACGCTCTGTACTCCACCTCATCAACGAGGGCGAAGGGAGACGTTCCCTCCATGCCTCCCGTGCTGACTTCAAAATGCTCGTGATCGTGACCCTCAGAGAACATCACCAACCACGAGCTTCCTGCACGACCGAGGCGCAGACATGAAGGGAGGACCACGTACGCCGCATCCAGATGAGAAAAATGAGCTACAAGTACTAGTGCATCTCGGTGCCGTTTTTGTTTAATAGAACCAAAGTTGGTAGGGTAGGCTGGCGAAAAGGCCAAACGTGCACAAGCTGGGTTTGGAGGTTGTGCATCCATGCAGCTCAGATATCCTCGGTGTTCCACAACGGTAGCATGCACGAACGAAATGCGTTTTGATTGTTGAAGGAAAATTCCACAGCGTTCCAAGCAGGCATACTAAAGCATAGGCCGTCCTGTCCCTTCAAGGTTCACCTCCGTTTCTTGCCCGTTGCAGCCCGGTATCTGATAAAACATCTACATCCTCGAGAAATCCCCCGATTGCACGCAAGGCCGCCTGCACGTCCGAGGCACTGGCGTCCACGTCAACAGTGACAATCTCCGAAGCCTCCAGCGTCCCATCCCCGTCGGCATCGAACGCGAGGTCAACGGTACCCGATGCGCGACCACCCCCGTGCCGCATCTCCGCCTCCTCGGCTGACTCTCCTCTGCAGGATTACAGGAAGCGTGTATAGGAAAAATGTTTTCGTTGTGTGTCCCTCGACGATGCAACGAAAAATAATCACGTCTGAAACAAGCCGCGCAGAGGGGGAAAGATGGTAATGAAAATATGGGTACATCGGTTGCCCCCCACTAAACCCCGGACAATAACATGACCGTGTTGGCGTACAGTAGCCCCCCCCCCCCCCCCCCCCCCCCCCCCCCCCCCCCCCCCCCCCCCCCCCCCCCCCCCCCCCCCCCCCCNCCCCCCCCCCCCCGGAGTCCGGAGTGAGAAAAACGCACCTCTGCGCCTCCCACACGCTGATGGCCGCCGAATCAATCGGCCAATACGCTATGGTCTCTTCGTTGGCGTAGTTGTTGTAGCCGTGGTCGGCGTCGACGGTGCGAGAGAACGGGGAAGGGTCAGGTATGAGCCCTACCCCGTCTGCCGTCAGCAACGGAAGGTCGCCCGCTGAGCCTAAAAAGGCGACAGCCCATGTCCGACCCCCTGGGGGGTAGGAATTTGGGTCCGTCAGGTTGACCATCAGTCGACCCACGGAGTTAAGCTCCTGCAAGGAAACCGGATTGGGTGCAATGCCCGCCGAGAAGTTCAGATTGGGCAGGAATGAAACAGTTTTGAGACCATGTGGTTCTGCAAGGTGGCGCCACAACGACGAAGAGTGCACATTCATGTCCAAAAACAGATAGTTCCCTACGCTTGGACGGAGCTGTATGCAAGCTGTGCAGAGAGTGAATGCTTTGACAGACCGAGGTGCATCATGACCGACATGGGTGTTGAGGAACCGCGGGTAGATCAGAAACCTATCCCGTGGCGGATAACGCGCAGGAACTAACAGTGATACCGTCAGCTTTGTTGCTCGAAACAAGTTATCAAGCATTTCCGTATGCTCATTCAAACCGGTCGCGATCGTCTGACGCACCTCCAAAGCTGCTTGGAGCGTTGCGGCTGTGGCGTTCCACGGGATTTCAGCGGTTTCTTCCCCGCCGTGGGAAAGGGTGAAGGTCCCTCCGGAAGCGCCCCTTGTAGAGACTTCTTGGACCTCACAGGGCCTTCCTTTGAGAATCTAATCAGAAACGCGGAGCGGGGGGGGGGGTTGAAGTGTTGCCATCGTGTGCTTGATTGCTTCGGACAAGTCACTGCCCGTCCCTATCGGGATCCGTGGATGTTCATCATTGTTTGAGGATGTCTCCCGAACACTACTGGGTGAAAAACACGCCTAGCGTTCTCAGAGTTGGGGGTGGGGGGAGAACAACAAGACGACGAACCCCTCAGGGGCGGAGAGTCGCCGGGCTACTGTCCTCTTTCTGTTGGCGACACGCACAAGCACACACGTTGCCGCAGACTTCCAGGCGCTCGAGCTCACGATGTGTGACCCAAACAACTATCGTGAGTAGCAGCTCATCGAGCAGAAGAAGGGCAGCTATGCATGACTTCCACCTTTTGCGTGGAAAGCAACGTGTACCCTGACGACGGGGCCGATCCCCGCAATTGTTGTTTACTTGCGTGTTCTGCTACTCTATACTGTTCTAGGTTCTCTGCTATCTCTCTTTGTCTGGGTATGTATTGTTTCGAAAAGACGTGCGACCAGTGGGCTACTACTCAGTTGGCTCTCTTGACGTTTGGTGAGTCTGCCATGACAGACGGCAGTTTGGCTCTGCGTACCGCACCGACAGGGGCACAACAGCACAACTCGCGGGGTTGTGGACGGAATCTTCGGAGCAGTGCTCAAGAGTTCTGTCAACGCCGGGCAAGGGTAGAGCAAGCACCAACCCCGCCAGCGCGAGCTCACAGGCACGGGGACAACTTCGACAAGCAAACCGTTACCCTCTCAACGTTCTAAACGTCTTTGTTTTCACCCGACGGGTTTCGGTGGGTTGGGGGCATCATAGTAGTCTGGAACGTCCTTCGACGAGGATATTGCGGTGCATTGCGGTCTACGGTGCGCCTGGGGAAACCTGATGCCTAGATGAGACTTGAAACATATTCTAGGAGTGGACGCAAGCCGTGAACAATCCTCCCGTAAGCCCATCCATCCCCCCGGTCATTACACAACGTGAGGATTCGGGGATGGTGCGGAAGCGTGTCCACTACGACCGAGAATAGCAAACCCACCTCTGTCACCGTTGCGTTGAGTCCGACACCCAATAGTTTGTCGGTCACCACTGCGAGCGCAGCCAGGTCGCCAATAGCATACGCCATAGTAACATTGTACCGCGTCCCTTCCAGGCCTGAGGCAGCGTCGTAGAAAGGCTCGCGAACAACGATGCCCCCTCCCAAACTTGGAACTCCCGCCAGCGCTTCTTGGAGCTACGAGGAAAGTGCGGTTGCAGTCATTGCGCGAGCGTACAGTTGTCGTCAGTTGTTCTCGTCCATTGCTGCTCTGATGAAAATGGCCAATGTTGGTCTTGTGAACCCACCAAGAGTGTGTGCTGCGGAAGACCTCTTACCTCGTCCTCGGTGGCGTTGAACGGTACGGCGGGGGAAAGGTAATAGCCATGCCTAACGGCGAACGACCCGGACAGGGTAGACGGGTCCATGGATGCCACCGTGATCTGCTGGACTTCGCTGACGTTAGCCGACGCATCCACCGTTATTCGCTGCACTTCCCGCGCGAGCTCAAGCGAGGAAAACATCACCTGAACCGAAGGCGCATTCCAATAAAAGAGACACGTATCTGTTTCGGAGGATCAAATTAGCCACGGTTTCGACCAAGAACAAACGGCATTCAACTGATGACCACCCGTGCACAGCGAATCGCAACTTTGCCAACGGCGAAAAAAGCTTGAGCTTACCTGATAGCCTCCTCTGCTCTCGTGAGCTGCAATGCCTGTCTCTGAAAATCTGTGCATGCGAGCTGCTACCGTCAACAACTTTTCGCCTTTCCGTGATTTGTATGTCCGGTCACCCTGATTCATACCTGTATTTCTGTCTCGTCTGATGCAGGTGCCGCGACGGCCCTGATCTCTTGCACCTCGTTCTGCCAACCCCGACCCCGCACCGAGATTTCATACACGGGGTCGCTCTCCGGCAAGGCAAACGCCTCCACGACCTGAACCTCCGGTCCACGGTTCGAAGCGTGGACAGAAACCCGTTGGATCTGCGACAACATTTGCGGAAGCACACAGAGAGTGTGAGGAACGATTCTCAGTATAGATCGACTCGCACGCCCTTGATTGCGATGAGTGGTGCTTAACCTGTCGTCGCTCGCGGAGTACCCCTCAAGTTCGAGAGGCATCGCCTAGAGCCATCTGCGTTATGTGATTGGTTGCATTTCAGTGCATCATGCGTGTGTCATTCGTTCTCTGTCCTAGTGCAAGGCCTTGACGACTCCAAGGCGGCTCACCTCGCTTCCCCCGACGTCCCGCCGAGGGTCCACTGGCGATTCACAACGTACGGCATCATCGTCACCCCCAACGACAGGCTCCGCATTGACGGTGCTGCCGTCAGGACCTCCGAACCGGCACAATAGGCTTCCTTCAGTGAAGCCAGGGTATGTACCGGCGGAAGTCAAGTTAGCCCCAGCAACGGTTACCATTGTTCCTCCAGAAGTGGGGCCGCGATCCGGGCTAACAGAGAAAATCTCCGGTGTGGGGTAGTAGGTGAATTGCGCCATCCTCAGGCTGTAGTTCTGTCCGTTTAACGTTACCGCCACTCGTACTGTGGCCCCTCTAGGGGGCGAAGAAGCTGTGGTCCCGGAAGCATCGATCCATTCGAGCGACTGCTCGGGCGCGCTGCACACCACCTCCGTGGGCGACACGAAGGTGGCTCGCACATCAACTGCCGAAGCTTCAAACACCTCTGTGGTTGTTGCCGCTGCCAGCGGCTCGTCAACGACGCCACCATTTTGGTTGTGATTTCCGTCCAACATCCGTGAGTGGGTACCGCCGAACCGACACCCCAACTCCGGAAGATCTTGGAAGCCGGACCCGGTCAGGGTTACCCGCGTCCCGCCCTCGGCAGGGCCGGAGATAGGGAAAGCAGCCAGCACGACGGGTTCCTCCGTGAACATGAACTCCACGGCGCTGTTGGTCCATAGTGAGGGGTCTTCGCCCGGTTCTCGTACCTCGAACGATGGAGTATCGCTTCCTACGGACGACGAAGACGAGTCATGCGTGACCGTGGTGCTCCCTGGGTCCGACACATCGAGGTAGACGCGGCCCGCCGCTCCAACGGGGACAGCCGGCGACACGCAGGTCACCATCTCCGTCGAGACAAACACCGCCGCGCTCGTCACGAGGTCGCCGAACCGGCAGAGCAAATTCGCCGAGCCAGCAAAGTTGACCCCCGAGACAGTTACGACCGTGCCCCCGCGGGTCGGGCCACTGTCCGGCGCCAGGGCTGTGACGACCGCGCGATCGGTGTAGGTGAACAGAGCCCCGCCCACATCTTCTCCAGTGGCATTGTGTGGAAGCGGTAAGGCCGGTTGCCTGCGAGAGGAAAAGTCCTGACCATTGAGAGTAACGGAAACCAGGACCGTCGACACGCGAACCTGAGGCGGCGAACGGCACGCGATGGTGTCCCCGCAGATGTATTCCGCCGCGCTTTCCAGGAGGCCGAACCGGCAGGCGAGTCGTTCGTCCGGCCGAAACCCGGATCCCCGGACGAGAACCCGCACCCCCCCCGTCGCCGGCCCGTGGTCGGGGACGAGCGACGACACGTACATGTCTTCGTCGTACAAGAAGGAAATTGACGAATTCACCGGTAGAAAATCAACTCCGTTCATAGATACTCGTAGCTCGACACCATTCTCCGCCCGAGAGGCGTTCCTGAAAGCGCTCTTCGGCGCGGAATGGGCGACGGAGGTCGTAAGCAAGCTGGACGTGCAGACCAGGGTCCCCGAACTGATTACCGTTGCAGGGGTAGGTTCTCCGGCTCCAAACTTGCACGCGGCTTGGGGAAGATCGATGAAGCCCGACCCCGACACGCGAACAACGGTGCCCCCAGAGGCAGGCCCGTTTTGTGGACTGACTCGCGAGATTTCGACGTCTTCGTGATACTGAAAGGACAGATACGCCATCGAGATGGAGCTGTCATCTCTCTGTTCGGCTGTTGTCGTCCGAGCGATGTCCGTTTCTCCTTCGGTAGAAACGTACACGTAGCTCTCGCTAGGCGTAAGAACGTCGTCGTGGACAGTCAATACCTGGAGGGTAACGTTCTCGCTGGTGGGCACCATCGGCGAAAGGCACTGTATCGCAGAACTGTTGATGATTATCGCTTCAACCGACGGCAGTTGTAGCGACCCAAAAGTGCACGCGTACATCTCCCCAGTGCGAAACCCTTCCCCTAGAATGGTCACCGTCGTGCCGCCCGCGGCCGGGCCAAGTGCAGGCCAAGATGAGAACAAGCGCAGGTTGCTGATGTACTCCACCTCCAGATCTCCGTCGGAGTTTAGTAACTGATCATAAGAGAAAACGGAAACCCCTACCAGCCCCGGTCGTCGTGGTGGAGAAAGGCAGGTCAGGAGTTCCATTGAATGCCTTGTGGCCTGGACCGATACAGCGTCATCTCCACCGCCAAACTTGCACGCCAGAGTGCTGGGGAAGGTATCCGGGAAGCCCGAGCCCCGGATGGTGAGCACGACACCCCCGCTCTCCCGAAGTACCGCAGGGGACAGAAATTCCACGAATGGCTCGCTGGTATCGTAGAAGAACAACGGGCTGTCGGAAGAAGGAGTGAAGTCCCTCCCGTTCGACGAGATCTCCACGAAAAATGAACCGCCCAAACCTGAACCAAGCGGACACCGTGGCGTTTGTACGACGAGTTCTTCGCTGTTCACGTATCGCGCCGGCACGGTGACAGTGATGGCGCCGCTCTGATTGTTGTCGACCACGGTGACGGTTTTGTTCGTGTTGCCGCTTCTGCCCGAAGTCCCCGCGTATGCGAAACGTGCGACCAGCTGCGGTGTGTAGCGGAAATCGGTGCCGGTAATGGTTAGCGTGGTGCCTCCCCGCACGGGACCCTCGTAGGGTCGGATTCCAAGGACAAGCTCGTCGCGATAGAACTGAAAGGTGAGGCCTTCGTCCCCATCGGTACCCGTTCCTGCCGAGATGGTGCCGTCCATGATCATGAATTCAACCTTGCGTTTGGTGTTGGAATACCGGAACGCTACGGTTATCGGGACGATCCCTTCCGTGGGCATCGCTGGCGAGGTGCACTGTAGCGAGCTGTCGTTGAGGGCACGGCCGATAACCTTTGGGGCGTGGGGAGGGGGGAGTGTGTGGACAGAAGGGGGTAGCAAAGGTCATATATCCGGGCGCCGTTAGAGAGAGCTTTTCGTCAGAGTAGCGACAGTTGACGGCCAAGATGATGTCGGCATGGAAAGTAGCAGGAACGATGGGACTCTACGAGGTGCTCTCACGTGAGGCATTGTCAACGTCGGGTGCTCTGTCTGACTGTAACAGGGTGACTTCCTTGGCGCTGTAGCTTTTTACCTCATCGCAGTTCGAGGGTGGTCCTCTTGTACGTCCTCTCGCACACGACTGCTTACCTCGAGGTGACCAAAGCTGCAGTACAAGGACCCGGCTTCATTCTCCTCCAAGGAAGAATCCACGAAGCCAACTCCGGCGATCGTCACAAGCGACCCTCCGCTCAGCGGCCCGGCAGACGGGCTTAGCGAGTACAGGAAACGATCAGGCTCAAAGTCCATACCAGCGGGTACCGTCAACCATTCCGCCCCCCCGTTCAGGGTGAGCTCCAGCGAATAAGAACCTGGAGGCAAGGGCGGGGCTTGGCATCTCACCGCCGACGAATTCCACAACGCAGCACCGACCACCACTTCTCCTCCGAACCGACAAGCTTCTAGACCGGTTCTGGTGAAATTATACCCTTCGATGGTGACCACAACATTCCCGGACTCAGGGAGGACTGTGGGCTCGACGGCTATCACTCCCGCAGCCGGGATAAACGTGAACCCAGTCGTGGCCAGAGGGTCCACAAGCCGCTCGTAGACTTTGTCGGTTATTGCCGTTGCCAAAGCGTCGTCGTTGGTCGCGGCACCCGTCACAACTTCGATGAAAAAATCTCCTACAAGGTGGCTATCTGATGCCGGAGCCACGCAAACCAGGTGAGTGAAATTCAACACATCTGCTTGGACGACGATTAGCGGTTTGTCGACGATGAGGTCACCGTGCGTGTCGTTCCGTTCACGAGATCCGAACCGGCACAGGGTGGCCGCCGGGACAAATCCTGTGCCGACAATTGTCACCATGGTTGCTCCTGCGCCGCTTCCGTGCCTCGGGAAGGCGCTGTGCACTCGAGGGCGCCCCGCTATCGCAAACCGCACGGACTCCTCCACAGGGTTGAAGTCCAAGCCGTTGTTCGAAACTTCTAGCCGGAGCTCGACGGAACTCCCCTCATCACCGCTGTCCTCAGCCGCGACGTACGGAGCGGTGAACGTGACGGCCGTGCTGTTGATGTAGTCGAGGAAAATCGTATGCCACTTCTCGCGTTTGGTGTCGGGACCTCCAGCAGTTGCCTCGGCGGAAGAGTGACGACGCCACCGCAAACACAGCAAGGAGGAGTCCACGAACCCCTTGCCTCTGATGGTGACTTCAGCCTCGCTGGTGATGGCGGCATAGGCCGGGACAATCGACGTAACGTGTAGATCCTCGCGATACTCCAGTAGAGCGGTCGATGTGGAGACGTCCGCCCCGTTGAACGAAGCCGAGATCATGGCAAATCCCGGAGCGTGTGGTGGAGCAACGCACTCAACTACAGTCGAGGACACTCGAATCCCTTGAAGAGCTTGGGCGTCTGGACCAACTATACACTTGAAGCCGTCCTTGGTGTCTGGAAAGTTCCGCCCTCTCAGTGTCACAGCCGTTCCACCAGTAGCGGAAAGCGTGGAAGGGTGCGCTGAAAACACCTCGGGTGTTTCAAAGTACACAAACACGGCCTCGGACACCATGAAGTCTGCCCCGCCGTTGAGAGACACCGTGACGCTGACTTCGTTCGATGAAAACTCCACACCTGCCACAAACGGCGTGGAGATGCAGAAGACGTCATCCCCTTGACCCCGTGGTAGAACGATCGCGGCATCCGTAGCGGCTCCAAAACTGCACCGGAGATCCGGTTCTACCCCCGCTGCTCGCATAAAGGAAACCTCTTCCCGAACGCCCGATAGCGCCACTCGTGTGCCGCCAACCATCGGCCCGCTGTTCGGGGTCACGCTGGTCAGGACCGCCTCTCTGAGGTAGAGGAAAACGAGCGGGGTCGGGGAAACCGCCATCTCCCCGGTTTTTCCGCCGTCGAGACGCCTGGCGACGGTAACGGTAACCAACCCGCTGGAGTTTCCGCCTGTGTTGACGAACCCGGGAGGCGTCCGGCACACAACGCTTCCGGGCGACATTACGGTGGCAACAGTGGCCACCTGCGATTCGCCGAACATGCAAGCAAACCCGTACCCACTAGCAGCGATGTTCTCGCCTAGAACACCGTCGGCGCCAAAACCAGTCCCCGTGACAGTAACCTCAGTGCCTCCGGCGATCGGTCCAGACAGCGGAGCAATGGCCGCTACCGTCAGTTTCGTGTCTACCGTCAGCAGTTGCGATGCTTCGACTAAATCGACGCCGTTGAACGTCACCTGGACGGATACATCGCCGGGTGGAAGGGGTGGGGCGACGCAACGCATTGCTGTAGATCCCAACCAGAGGGCGGGGACGGCGGAGTTCTCACCGCCTCCCTCGAACCGACAAGCGAGATCGGGAAGATCGGGGAAGTTGCTTCCTTCCACAAGGATGATGTGTTCCTCCTGCTCCGTGACCCGCCGCGGGACGACCGACGAAACCTCCATGTCGGGAACGAAATTGACGAAGAGGTTGGTTGGCCTGAAGTCATCGCCGGTGGTACCAAGAAAGACGTGAGCAAATCCGCGCTCTCCTGGACCGAGGCCCGAAGAAGGGACGGTGCAGGCGAGCTCTCCCTCGGAAATCACGTAGGCGTAGGAGGTTGCACCCGGCGGATCTAGGGAAGAAGCTTCTGCTTCAACCGGAATGCCCTCCACGAAGCGACACTGTACGTCCCCGCGACGAGCGAATCCGGAGCCTTTGAGAGTGATTCGCGTTCCGCCGGTGGACGAGACAAAGGCGGGTGACAGGGAGGTAACCCGTGCCGCTTCCTCGTACGAAAAGATCTGGTGAATCACGCACACACAGGTTGGAAACGAGCGCTGTGATAAGCATTTCGTCGGCAATAGTATACGACTCGTCGTGGCGTAATGATCCCATGTGGATGTCGCCACGAAGTAAGCGGTAAAAAGTGGCGTAACATCGGAGTTTAGTCTAGCCCCTGTACGTGCAACATCATCGTTCAATTTGTTGGCTAAATCTGCATACCTACGGTCAGCAGTTACGAGGATGTAAGGTAACTTGGCAGTTGAACTGTTCTTGCCTTCATAGTTCTCAGCACAGGGCTACTCCATAGGTATTTGAAATATCCGTTTTCGCCGGCGTTCATCGAATGAACAATTCAGCTACAAGACCCAACATAGCACGAAAAATCAAGATTATCATTCCAGTCCGAAAATTAAAAAACTCGCTGCCACACTAAGAGGGTACGCAGAACTTGTTTAGGAATTCAGGCACAAACGGTCCATCCTAACGTACCAGAGGTGACCCCGGCGACCCTCGCTCGAAGTCGGCCCCGCTGTTCACGCTGACGCTGACCTCCACTTCCACAGGGAGCCCAACGCTCCAGGGCGGCGACAAGCACTGCACCCATCCGTCCGAATAGCGGGACCCTATTGTCACAATAGAGCCGAACTGACACCACACTGTTTCCGTAGCAGCGGTGGTAGCAAAATCCCCACCCGCAGCAGGAAGGGCAGCAAAATTGGCGCCGATAATGTCTACGAGCGTTCCTCCAGCCACCGACCCGCGATCTGGAGTCAAGCCCAAGAGTTTTAAGCTCGGAACAGACGTGAAGGAGACGCTGCCAGAGGTAGGAAGGCGTGCCACAGCTTCGCTGCCGAAGTCGACGAAAACTTGCACGTCCATCGCGCGGCCCACATCGCTATCGGATACGACAGGCGGCGCGATGCACGCAAGCTCAGAAGGGGACACGTAAGCTGCGAGTGCTTCCACTCCTACCGTCTCCGCTGCCGTCTCGCTCTCGGCCACCGGCCCGTTCGGCTGGAAGTTGCAGATGAAGCGGAAGTCGCTGTTGAACCCCGTGCCAAAAACAGAAACGACGGTACCCCCCGTAGCGGGGCCGCTGCGAGGAGATAGACCGGTCACGAAGGAAGGTGCTAGGTAGCGGAAGTGGAGAACCGATGCCAATCCAGACGAGCCGTCCTCCCCAAAGGTCACGCCGCCGTCTACCGACACCGCGATGCTGACCGCTCCCGGGTCGGCTTGCGCGGGAGCGGAGCACCTCACGACGCTAGAGGACTCGAAGAAAGCTTCGACGACGCCGGTTTCACCGAAGCGGCACAGTAGCAAACCCGTGCGGTTGACAAAGCCAGCTCCGTACACCTGCATCGCGTTCGACGTAGCGATTTACAAAACACAGCTGGCGAAGTTTGTTGGTACACTCAGGTGTCAAAGACTGTCAATGGGGCAATTGAACAAACTACTGAATACCACAGCACGGCCACAATTAGCAGGCGTAGCGCCGTTCGAGGCTCAACGTTTGCTACCCCTTGTGTTGGCATGGTTTCGGCACTATTCTTCGTCTGTTTAGAGGCACACGTGGAACTGCGAAGCGGATGGTTGCTCCCGCCACGCTTACACACCACGTTTTGCTTCGAAACACTGCCTGCTTTTTTGCACCGTGTCACAATGCAACCTTTGAAGCACGTACCTCGACAGGCGTCTCAATGTTTCCAGCCATGCCCCTCGCCGGCACCACCTTGAAAACCTCCGGAGGTGCTTCCAGATCGATCATTGCTCCATTGTTGTGGTCGAAGTCCACGCCGTTAACTGAAACCGCCACCAGCGCAGGCCCGACGGGCAGCACTACACCACTCGTCTGGCACGATACTTCGGTGCTAGAAATGAACTTTGCCGGAATCATGATGCTTGTGCCAAACTCGGACCATTCCCCGTCAGCAGCATCACCGCCCCCACTCGCGGCCAACGGCGTGAAGTGGCATGCCGAAGAGGGCGTGTCGACAAAGTTTGTGCCGATGGCTGTCACAGGCGCTCCGCCTAGAGACGCGGATGCAAACGCCGGATCAATACGCGTAACCATCGGCCGGGAGACGTACTCAAACGTGGCCGCCTGAGCCGGCGGCGAAAAGTGGATGCCATCGTTGGAAACTGCAACGTTGGCAGTGTGGGGTCCCGACGTCTTAGAAGCTGCCGGCGTCACGCACTCGATGACTGAGCTCGAGATAAACCTGGCCTTAGAAAGCACGGTCAAGACGTTATCCGTATCACCAAGCCCAAAACTGCAGCCCAAAAGCTCGCTGGATGAAAAACCCGAGCCCCGTATGATGAGGGCTGTGCCGCCGGTGGTCGGGCCCATTTCCGGGGTGACGGAAGATACTTCCGGAAGGGGGTCGCAGCGGAAGCCCACGTCAGCCTCAGTCCAATGAGCGCCGCCGTTCAGCGACACCTCGAAGCTCGTGAGCCCGCTGAAATCGCCACAGGAGACCGAGCAGGTTGCTTTTTGGGGGCTGAGTACGACACCACTCGTTGTGGCGTTGTACTCGTGCGACCCAAGTCGGCACAACAGAATCCTATCTTCTTTTTCACTTCCTAGAGTTGCATTACCGCGTTTGGCGAGGTTAGTGCCGGTCAGTGACACGGTAGATGCTTGTCCGTTCGTCACTCCTCGAGAGGGTGCCAGAAAAGTCACTGCTGGCTCGTTGTAGAACACGTACATCGGCTCGGCGCCGCCACCTCCAGTATGGTCGTAGTCACAACCTCCAAAGTCAACGCCGTTGTTGGAAAACCGGACAGGCACAGACAGCGGTGTCGACAACGCCCCCAACAATCGCGGCATTGCTGGCGGAACGCACCTGACCACGGTGGCCGAAACTACCTCCAAAGCGGCTACAACCATGTCCCCGAACGAACAAGAAGGCCTATCCATGGTCGAAAAGCCGGTTCCCTCTAGGAGGACTGGTTGCTGTCCTCTGCCCCCACCGCTGACGAACGGACCGGAGGACGGGCTGACGGCCGTGACCGTCGCCGCCGGGAGGAACATGAAGGCGCTCCCGGCGCCGACGAAGTCGACCCCGTTATCAGTCACCTCGATTTCGTACGTCCCAGGATCCACGGGTCCCGTCGGAGCGCAGGAGATTGAGGTGGGGGACACGAACGCCGCCGGATACGTGGTGCTTCCAATGCGGCATCTCAAGGAGCTCCTATCGCCGGACCTGAAGATTCCCCCAGTGATGCGGATCTCGGCCCCGCACTCAGACGACCCCGACGAAGGTGCTACCTTAGTTATCTACCGAATGGAGGAGCACACGAATTTACGGCGCGTTTCGGGCGAAAAGCGCGTACTGAATATGCGTGATACTGATATTTTCTATTATCAATGTAAAGGAACAGTAGCAAAGTAGATTACTGCATCACACCCCAGCAAATGTCCGCGCTCATCCGTGGTGGGCACCATTACAATTGATAACGCACAGTATCCAGCAGAACAGAGGTTGCCATCAATGAGTACTTCATGGAGAACAATGACAAATGGCGACACGCCATAGCGAGACCATATGCCGCTCACGCTTACCATTGGCTGAGGAAGGAACCAGAATGACAGCCCTCGGTGGGCGTCGAAGTCTCTTGACTGCGACCACCTGTGGTTTGAAATCTCCACCAGCGCGTGACCCACACCCGTCGAAGACTTCCCAACGCCGTGCGGATAGACGGAGGCCAGTGCGGGCGTCAAGCAGTGCACCTCTGTCGTCGACACAAAGCTCGCAGCGACTTCCACCACCTCAACAGCACTGCCTCGATCTGTCGCAGCGACGCCATGGAAGCGGCAGGTGAGACCGCCATCGTCGGTAAAACCTTCGCCAGTAACGTTGACTCTCGTTCCGCCCGAGGTGTGGCCGTGTGTGGGAGACAGCTGTGACGCCGTCGCGCGCACCTTGTACTCGAAAGTCAAGCAGTCGCCGTTTTCATCCGCGATATTTACGTCGTTCGCAAAGACGGACACATGCGCGACTCCTCCGTTCTGCCCGGCCGGCGCCGACAGGCACGTCAGGGTCGAGTCCGACAAGACGTCAGCCCGAGTCACAAGCACCTCCGGCGGTTCGAGCCCCGGAATCGTCCACTGGCAGGTGATTCTTGTCCCCTCTACGCGTCTGATTGCGTCAAAGCCTGACCCTTCGATGAAAACAGGCGTGCCACCACTTGCAAGGCCCACGCCGGGGTCTACACGAACAATACTTGCTGTCGGTAAAAAGTGGTGGCGTATCTCCTGAGCTGTGTAGTCGACGCCGTTGAGAGTCACCTCAACGTGTACCGTGCCGGGCTCCGACTCGGCGGGTGTGAAACACTGAATGTGTTGGCTGGACACAAACTCAGCGGGCCGGCTCGAGTGAGCTAGACCGAACCGGCAGGCCAACGTGGGCAGGTTAAGAAACCCTTCACCCGTCACGGTGATTGCCACCTCTCCTCGTTCCATTGAAGCTTCCGGGGTCGTGGAATAAATAATCGGCACCTGCGTTGTTCGACGTCATGGTTGACGTTTTGAGACATGTCTTGGCAGATTGTCAGGCAGGAGTGGAGTAAACTGCTCCATGCTGCACCAACATCTCAGGAGGACGCCACTCAAAACAGGGACAATACACACGAATACATACGCACATCACGGGCTCTTGACATTATGAGCAACACCATTTTATATGTCTGTGCAAAATGGGGCCACGATATAGTGCCAATGCTGTCATACAAGATATCTTGCAAAACAATGGTCTCACCTGAACGTATGAAAACATCAACGGTGGCGACGAGAAATGCACCCCTCCGTCTGTGCTCACGGCAACTTCAACCGCCGTAAAGTCGTCGGCACCGAGGTCAGGAACCTTGCAGGTCACGACGTCGCTCCCTGCCCCTTCACCAAACCTGGAGGAACCCTCCCACCGTAGCGCCGGAGAAACTTGGTGAACAGCTGTGCCGGACGAATTCCCCACCCGACACAGAACGGGCCCTACCCCTGCAACAGGAGAAAAATGACGCCCAAAGACCGACAGATGAGTTCCTCCGATTGGTGGCCCAGTGCTTGGGTGTAGCGCCCCAACCTCGGGAGCCTGATAGTACCGGAACATCAGACCACCATCTCCAACGTCTTCCCACTCTTCGCCGTTTATGGTGACCTGTACAACTACGTTCTTCTCGGACGATGAAGGTGGAGCTTGGCAAGTGATCTGCGCCGATGACTGCAGGGTTGCCTTGACCACGGCCCTTCCGAAACGGCACGCAAGTTGTTCTGTTGCGGGGGAAAAGGTACCCCCCTCGACCGTAATCACGGTACCGCCGGACAGAGGACCGGCCCTGGGATGCAAGCGCTCTGGTCGCGCCTGGGGGTGGTATTCAAACGTTGTTGCCGCAGACGGCGCGGAAAACTCCAGGAGGTTGTTGGACACGGAGACCTCCACCTTGATGGGGCCGTCCGGAGACGGCGGCGCCTTGCAGCGGATCACATTCGAAGACAGAAACTCTCCGGGAGAAGCCGCAAAGGATCCGAACCGGCAGCTGAGCGTCTCCAAAGGGAGGAAGTGACGTCCCACGACGGTGATGATCATGCCTCCGTTGACGGAGCCTACCGCTGGGAACAGCCCCAAGACCTCGACAGGCTCGTAGAATATGTACTGTGGGCCGCGGCTGGTGAAGTCGGCGCCATTTAGACTCAAAGTTACCGAGACAACCGACGGATTGTCACCATCGAAGAAGGTGGCGCCGCTTAAATGCCTTTCGCGAGGAAGACGCGGCGGCGACGAGCAAACTGCCACGCCGGGGGACGCGCGTAGAGCTGGCGACCTGAGTATTTGGCCGTTCTGCTCACCGAACCCGCAGGTTAATGTGCTGCTTGAGTTTCCGAAGCCGAAACCTCGCAACGTCACCGGCGTGCCCCCTGCGGTTGATCCACTCCGGGGTTCTACCGAGGAAATATATACCGTGCCCTGGTAGTCGAATCGAAGCCCGAAATCTCGCAAGGAGTCCGTGGCAGCAGCAGCCATTGCCCCCGACACTGCTGATGCCAAAGGGGACGGGGACCTGAAAACACGAATCTTCGCCACGCCGGGTGGCTGAGGCGGAGATCTGCACCGGAGATGCCCGCTGGCCAGTTGTGTTGCCGGAACCGCGACATTCTCGCCAAATACGCACGCCCATGGCCCCGTTTGACTCAAGCCCGTTCCCGCTAGTACTACGTCTGTCCCACCGTCGACAGGACCCGCGCTTGGCTCGTTGCTGGTCAAAGTGAAGGCCGGCAGGTAGGTGTACACGAGCGGGGATCTGGCGGCGAAATCTTGGCCGTTGTTGGAGACGGTTAGGCTGACTTGCCGCGGCCCCGCCGGCGACTCCGGGACCAGGCACAAAACCTGCTTCGAGGAGATAAAGGCCGCCGGGGTGGCACCCTGTCCACCGAATCTGCAGCTAAGGGACGTCGAGGGAAGGAAGTTTTTGCCTGTGACGACCGTCGTCACGCCGCCCTCTTCGCCAGACTGGGACGGACTAGCGCTGAAGAGGTGAATCGGTGGCACGTACGAGAAGTTCATCGGCGACGCTACCCTGTCAACCCCGTTGTTGTTCGTAAGCTCCACGCGCACGACGGCGCCCGTGGGTGACGAGTCGCCGAGAGGTGGCGTCGGGCAAGAGAGCTCGTCGTCGCTGTGCACGGCCCCCACGGTCATGTGAGCGCGATCTCCTCCGAAGATGCAAAACACCTTGCTCTTCCCACTCGCAAAGCCCGCCCCGTACACGGAGACAGATGTTCCACCACCGATCGGGCCGCTCATCGGCCACAGGTGCCGGATTTCAAGAGCCGGCACAAATGTAAAGTACACCTTGCTACTGTTGGTGAAGTCAATGCCGTTGTTGGACACTTCCAGCGGCATCGCCAGCGAAGCCGCTGAAGTGGGTGTGATGCAGCGTACGCGCCCGCTGTCGACGAACGTGGCTGGCAGGCGGCGTCCCGCCAGGCGACATGACAGTTCCGTTGAGTTCGCGAACCCCGTCCCATCAACCTCGACCATGGTTCCTCCGTGCTGAGGCCCAGAAGAAGGCGTGATGGCTCGCACGGTCGACTCGATCAAGTACTGGAACGCAAGACCTGTCTCGATGAACTGTTGGCCGTTCACGCTAAGCCTCAGGATCGCCGCCCCCGGCATGTGGGGCGGAGAAACGCACGTCACGGTTGTCGAGTCCATCCACCTCCCAGGCACCAGCGTGCCTAACGACCCAAACTCGCATATTATCGAGTGCACGTCAACGAAACCCATGCCTGTAACTGTGACCGCAGTTCCTCCTGACTCTGGCCCTGCAAGGGGCCACGCAGATTCCACGCTTATATCCGGACTGTAGTGGAACGTCCATCCATCGGACGTATAGTCTACGCCATTGATGCTCACCTCGAATGAAACGGCGCCGACGCTTTGGTAGGTCGGTGCCACGCACAGAGCATCACCGCTGACGCCTGCCACAGCCGCAGTGACCACACTCTGCCCAAACCGACACAAAAGCTTTTTCCCACTGCCGTCCATGGCGTCTTCGAAACCGGACCCGCTCACCCTAACGACAGTACCTCCGCTCAGCGGACCGACCTTCGGCGAAACTCCGGTGATCGTGATCGGAGGGAGGTAGCTATACACGACGCCGCTTGACGTCCAGTCCAAGCCGTTGTTGGTCACCTCTACCGTGACTTGGGTCGGGAGAGTGTCACCCTTTGGTGGGGATGTGCACACGACGCGCGTGGAGTCAACGATGGCGTCAATGCTAACGATGCCGCCGTCACCAAACCTGCAGAAAGCGGTGGTCGAGTTCAAGAACCCCGTACCCTGCACTCGAACCACCGTGCCGCCGTTGCTTGAACCAGACGATGGCCACAGCGTCGTGACAGTCGACGTGCTCGTCACCAAAAGCGGCACTCCAGAATGGGAGGCTTCCACGCCGTTATTGGTTACATGCAAGACAGCAGGGCCTACCCCTCCCCCCTCCGGACTTCTACAAGAAACCAAGCTGTCCGAATGGTAGACGCCAGATGTCTTTGTCTGAGCCGCTTGTGGAGTAGAAGCCGAAGAAAACACAAACACACACGCCAGAGCACTCATATCTGTGAACCCTGAGCCCGTCACCCACAGCCTGGACCCCCCGTTTTCTGGCACCGAGGCGGGGTACACGGAGACTACTTCGATGGGCGGGTGGTAGTGGAATCTCACGGCTGACGAGCTCATGTCCACCCCGTTATTGGTGAGTCGCACGTCCACGACCCCAGCGTTCGGCGCCGGAGGGGTGACGCAAACGAGGTGTCCCGTGGTGTCCACCATGGTATCGATCTGAAGCCCGTTGACCACACAGCTGAGATTTCCAGCGGCGCCGAACCCGACCCCTTGTACGCGCAACGTGGTGCCGCCGTTCATGGGTCCACATGTGGGATCCACAATAAGAAGCTCAAACGATGGCACGTACTCGAACATCACGCCTGGGCCATCGCTGTCTGTGAAGTCGACGCCATTATTTGCGATCCTAATCGGCACCGAAGACCTTTCATCGCTGTGGGCCCCCTTCTCCGCCGCCGGTGCCCGACAGAGGACCAATGTAGGATCGAGGTACTCAGCATCTCCGATGCGGTCGCCGAAGCGGCACGCGACTTCCGTGGAATTGACGAAACCTGCCCCTCTCACGGAGACTACGGTACCCCCGTGGACCGACCCGCTTCGCGGTGCCAAGGACAGCACGGCCGCCTGCGGCTGGTACGTAAACACCAGCCCTGCGTCGGCGAACTGTTGTCCGTTCGTGCTGATCGCCACCCGTACGTTCCCCGGCCTCTGCGGAGGTGTATCGCACACAAAGGAAGTGCGGCTCACCCACCGCCCGGAAACACGATATCCCGCCGCCCCGAACTGGCATACCACCGTTTCTGAGCCTAGGAATCCCGGCCCCGTGATGGTCACCTTGGTGCTGCCCCCCTCCGGGCCAGTCAAAGGATAGGCTCCGGTCACATTGACGTCCGGAATGTAGTCGAAGCGCCAGCCGCTGTCTGTCACGTCCAGCCCGTTTACGACGACCTCTAGAGAGACGGACCCCGGACTGTCGGTAGCTGGAGACACACAGAACAACTCGCCACTGTGCACGGTGGATGCAGCCGTAGCTGGGACTAGCACCGAACCAAACCGACAAGAAATAATACCCTTGCTTTCGCTGTCGCCGCCCCCGTCGCTACTGCTATGGCCGATCCCACTTGCAGGAAAGTTGGACCCCACCACGCGAACGATTGTGCTCCCGTTCACAGGACCAACCTTCGGGGTGATGCTTTCGATGACCGCGCGCGGCCGGTATGCGAACACCACCTTGGAAGTAGTCCAATCAACCATGTTGTTTGAAATTTCGACAGCCGCGAGGCTCTCGTCGCTCTTTTGCCGCGGCGCTCTGCACACCACGACCTTTTCGCTCTTGTACTCTATGGGGGTGACTGTGGTATCCCCGAATCGACATGTCAAGCCGGCCGTGTCCACAAAGCCTTCGCCTGAAACGTCCACAAGCGTTCCCGCAGGCCCGGTTTGAGGGGTTAGGCTTGTAACGATCGGCGTCGAGTAGTACGCAAACTCTGCCCCACGCCTAAGGCTGCTGCCGTTCGATGCCATCTGCATTGAGGCCCGCTGAACTCGCACCACGGCCATCATCGCCTCTCCCACAGCAGCGGAGGCCGCACTTTTTGTCCCCTCCCCCGTTATGGGGAGAGGAGGAGTGGTACAGCGGACAGACCTTGGACCGTCGTACTCCGCCGCAACATCCACCAACGCATCCACGCCAAACTGAAACGTGCACACGAGCGGGTCGACGTCGCCGTCAAAGTTGTCGCCGAACACTTGCACGACGGTGCCTCCCGATGAAGGCCCAGTCCTCGGAAACAACGACCCCGCACGGGGAGTCATCGCAAGCGCAAGTGAAACGCCTTTCTCAGGCGCCAGAAAATCGTAGCCGTTGAGGCTCACGCTGACCGCCACCACACCCGGGGTAGCGTTAACGGTGGGGAGCCCGCAAGTAATCATGGTGGGGCGAACCAACACAGCCAAGGAATCACCGATACCAGAAAATCTGCAGGTGGTATTCGTCACCAGCAAACTTCTTCCGCGATGGCCGTCATCGCCTCCGGGTTCCTCCAATAACTGCGCGAACCCGGTCCCCGAAATGGACACGACCGCGCTACCACTCGCAACGTCCTCTGTGCTGACCACGCGGGGGAAAACGGCGGAAACTGTCGGCTCCGGGACGTACAAGAACTCCAGTTCCTCGCTTGAGTAGCTCACGCCGTTGTTGCTAACCCTCAGCGCCACCGTTACCGTTGCGGCGTCGTCACCTTCCGCAACGACTCTGTCCTCCAGCTTCGGTGTCCGGCAGAGAACTTTGCCCGCGTCAACAAACACTCCGGGTGTGGCGGTTATCCCGAACGCGCACGAAAGGTCCGACGAGTTGAGGAATCCTTGGCCAACAACCGTGACCGTTGTGCAACCCGACTTCGTGCCAGCCGAAGGAATAGCGCTCAACAAGATCGGGGCGTCAGACAGTGCCAAATCTGCCCAAGATCCATCCGTCTCCACGCCATTGTTCGACACCCCGACCTGGATTATCGGCGGCGCATTGTCCCTCGGAAGCGGTGTAGATGCTGAGAATGCCATTCCTTCTACGACGGATGCAGTCGTGCACATGACTACTTCTGTTGATAAAAACCGCGCTGGCGAAGTCCATAGAACAAGGCTTTCGACGCTGGTGCCGGCAGAGGCGGCAATCGATTGATTGGTAGCTGTGTCGCCTCGACGAAACACGCACGACAGCAGCCCGGACGGCGAGAATCCGGTGCCCGACACAGCTATCTCGGATTCCCACGCTGGCGGTACGCTCTTGGGGTATACCCCTGATGACGAAATTGACACGCGGAACGCCCGAGGGACACAAAAAAATGATATGATAATCACTTTACCCTCTATCAGAAGGCGTGGTAGCTTCATTTGCAGCAATTGCCCTTCGCTCTATTCTTTCAGTGGATCTATAACTTCCAATACTCTAGAGCCTCGTGCAACATTCCAGTACATTCACACCCTCCGTGTAAATCACACGCGAGACTACAAGGTATCCGACAGCAGTAAACACTATTGGTATGCGCATGGGTCTCACCGGTGGTGCTCGCGATCGGTAAAACTTGGAAGGATACCGAGGGGGACCAGGAGTAGTCCACGCCGCCGTTCATGGAGATCTTCACATCCACGGATTCATCTGCCGCCGACGAAACGTTCTCGCCAACAAACTGTGGAGATCGACATCGCAGCTCCGCATCAGACACCACAGCCGCAGACACCGTGGCGTACTCCCCAAATTTGCACACCGTCTGGCCAGAACCCACGTTTCCCGGTGTGCCGAACGAAAAGCCAGAGCCCTTTATGACCACGTCTGTGCCTCCAAGCTTCCTGCCAGCGGGTGGCGACGCCTCGAGGATGATGGGCGCATCGTAGAACGTGAAAGGGAGTCCTGCGCCGCTGTCGCTGACCTCCTGACCGTCGACCAGCAGAGTAACCTCTAACACGCTGGTATCGCTGGAGGCGACGATTTCTTGACTACTGCTTGTTGGTGACGCCATGGACGCCAAGGGCGACGCGCAAGAAACGTAAACACGGTGGTTCGCTGCTTGTGCAGCGCCAGGGACGGAAGATAACACCCCTTGCGTTGAAACGTTCCCTCCCCACTGGCAGCTTATCTCAACGCCCATATCGGTTCCGGGTAATCCCCACCCATCAACCGTCAGGGTGACCGGCGTTCCTCCGGTGCGTGGGCCTGATGCCGGGTCAATGCTCGATAGTTCTGGGGAAGCATAGGCGAGGAGTTGAGCTGCACTGGGTGACGGGTCTACCCCGTTGTTGATAACACGTACTGCGAGCGCCGAAGACGTCCCCGCCTCGATGTCTAGAGCGGGAAGCTCGCACTGAACCAGCTCAGATGACAACCACACCGCAACAGTTGTAAACGTGAGGTTGTTCCCCTCCGTTTGGACAACAGGGTTGTCTTCGGCCGCCCGCGAAGGATCATCATAGATCGAGGCGACTGCAGCCGATTCGTACAGACACAGGAGGAGCCCTCCAGCAGGCAGGAACCCTTGGCCAGAGACGATGATGTCTCCACCATTGAAAGCGGGTACTGTCACCGGCGTCACCGAAAATACCTCCGGGTTGGGGTAGTAGAAGAATCTCGATTCCGATGTCGAAAAACTTGAGCCACCATCTGCCGATACCCGTACAGTAGCGTACCCTCCCCCCGACACGGTGGTGAAAGAACCGGCTACCGCAGGAGACACGCACGTTGCCGCGCTGTCCGACTCCACAGTAGCGGCGACGTCCAAAACCAGGGTTCGGGCGGGGTTGCCGCTTGGGCTTTCGTCGTCGTTCAAGTCCAAAACACCGGCATCCTCCGTTTCAAAGCGGCATATTAACGAAGCTTGTCGCACCGGCTCTATAATGCCCGGGTCGAAATTTCCGCCGATAACGGTTATCGTAGAGCCTCCAGTTGAAGGGCCCAGGTCCGGCACTATCCCCACAAGTGTCGGCCGAGCGACGTACGTGAATGTGACAGACGGTGGGCCTTCCCGACTAAAGTCTACGCCGTTCGCGGTAACCGCAACATTCGGGGCGCCTCCTGTGGCTGATGACATGGGGGGGATAAGGCAGCGAACCTCCGACGGAGACACAAACACCGCGGCTGTCGGCAGGGTCCCGAACCGGCAGGCCAGGTCTGTACCCTCGCGAAAATGAGCTCCGCGTGCCGTTACGTACGGCCCCTTGCGATCCTCGCTTCTTCCGTCGCCGCCGCTGTTAACATCAGGCGGGCCACTGATCGGCGAGATGAAGGAAACCACCGGAACGTCAGTGTACTCGAACGCCACTTGGATCTCCGAAGATTGTTGCCCACCAGTGTAGTGCCGCCCGTTTAAGGTCACAAGGAAGGGGACAAAGTGGAGCGCTTCGTCTCCGTTCCCGACTCCAACGCCCCCGATTACGGCCGCCGGGGAAGTGCACACCACCTCGGATGCCGACAACACTTTCCCCGGGGTTGCCACTCCGCCGAACGAGCAGGCGACGCCACCCACAAGGTCTGCGAAACCGATCCCCGTTGCGACAACGCGAGTGCCTCCCTCCATGGACCCGAAGGCCGGGACCACGCCGAGGAGCGTAGGCGGCGTGTAGAACGTGAACCGCAGCCTGTTGCTGGCGAACCCCACTGCGCTGACTATGTGCAAGGAGGTCGGGCCGGTGATGGGGAACCCACTGGTCTCGTTGAGGGGGGCCGGGGGTATGAGGCACTCGAGGAGGCCTGGGGCGACATGTTTCGCTTCGGTGACGCCCGCCGAGTAGTCGCCGAAAACGCAGGAGTAGTCGGAAACGCCTAAGCTTGTCCCGCGGATCTGCAAATAAACGGTGGTTTTGAAGTCGTTGTAACGTAGGAGGAAGCTAAATGTCAAGTAGCCATCTGTCTTGAAGGATTCACCATGCGCTTGATGGTTGTTTGCCACTCTTGATGGTTGTATGCAACTCTAGCCCAACCTAGCAATACAAATTTGTCGTATTTACGCTACTTCGAAAGACACGCAAGTCTCGCCCAGGTCACAGGGGGTGGCATGTGCTCACCTCGATGGTCAGCCCCCCGGTTGCTGGAGCAGCAGCCGGCCACACGCCTTCGATAACCGGCATCGTTCCCATCCGAAGGTTGTACGTCAAGTTTTGCCCCGCCCAGCCCCCTTCCCGGCACCCATCTGCCCAGTCCCACCACGCCGCGCGCCCGCCACCGCCGTTGGCCTCCGCCGCCATCCACTCTCCCGAATCACAAACCCCGAGCGACAGGACCCCGGAAGCGGACACTGCGCCGTCGTCGGCGGTGGTGTGGAGAGTCAAGGCCGAGATGGCTTCGTTGGCGTCGTCGAGATCCGCCACGAAGGCCGTCGACGAGTCTTGCAGCCCGTCGCCGCGCCCGAGGGCAGCGAAGCTCAGGCCATTTCTGTTCGAGAGTGACACCGTCGGGGCGTGCGGGCCAGTGCCGAAGTCCTTCGTCACGTCGAGGGTTACCCGGAGCGGGGTGCCCTGGCCTTCCCAGGCGTCCACGTCTTGGATCTCGTAGTCGTACAGCGTGATGTCCTGGATTTTATCGGCACATGTTTCCGTAGCATGAAAAGTTGTCGTGTGTTTGGCGCAACCGCTACTGGGTTAGTACCGCAGATGTCGCCGCCCTCGCGAGGTCAGCACGGGAAACGAACGAATAGGGTTGTACTACGTAAGCCAAACAATACCGACAACAGACCCCACCAAAATGTCGTACAAACACAACACGGCGATGCCAAAGTCTCGTCACTTGTCTAGGTGTAGGAAATGCGGAAAAGCTTCGTGATGAAACCCACCTTTACCGGCCAGTCCAGATGCGCGGCATTCAAGGACGGCCGAACGCTGAGCGACACAACCGCCTCGTTTTCCGAGACTTCCCCTCCCTTAGCAGCCTCCACACGGTATCCGAACCAGTCGTACGGCTCCCCCTCCGCGCTCCAGTCGACGGCGCTACCACCCCCGTACTCTCCGACTTCCTCCCCCAGCCAAGGGTCGTGTGCCCCCGCGTCCGGCCGATACACGAGCCTTGCACCCACCGGTACAACATCGCCTGCTGAAAGCGCCGCCGTCTCCCCCGCGACACCACCGGTCGATTCGCCCACGGGGGTGGTGGTGGCCACCGACAGGGTCCCGCCGGCCGGGACTCGAGTCAGCACGGCCTGCAGCGGCCAGCGCGCGTGCGCGTCGGTGCCGCGGACCCGGACGGAGAACGGGCGGCCGTCGTAGGACCGCGAGAGAACGCCGACGGGGGCCGTCGAGACGCTCCACGTCGCCGCTGGCGCGTCTGGGCGCCCGGGCAGCTCTTCTCGAGATAGAGTTTTTTGGAGCATTGCTGGAGCCGCTGCGGCGGCCGCGGGCGTGATCACGCCGAGCCGGGCGATGCCTCCTCGCTGCGGGGAACGCCATGATGCCGAGTCGACGGTCACCGTGCCTCTGCCTTCGTCGAACGTCCAGAGGGAGACTAGACCTGGCTCGGACCCCGTGGTCGGGACGCGTGGGTCACGGGTCCTGTACCCCTCCTCCGAGGACCATATCTACGATATCAGCAGGTCGTTAGAAAGACGGGTTTGGATGCGGGGCTTGTCAGCAAACGTTGACGTTTTGGAATAGTTAACGATCAACATATCATACGAAACCACTCGTGGGTGCGGAGACGATGTGTTTCGAAACGCAGCTTGCATCGGTGCTTACAGTTACTCGACAGCACGGGTGTGTGCGTAGCCAAAACTCCCGCTCGCTTCTGATGTTCCGTCTTCAACTCCATATACTACGAGATCGCTGCGAATTGGATTTCCCATTTTTGAGGGCAGTGTTCCAGCCTGACGTATGGGTGGGGTTTGCACGTTGTGGTGTTTGATACGTTAGAGACATGTTGTGTATCCATTTGGTGTGCATTTATTTTTGGAGACGAAGGCGTAACGGGGGCATGAGCTCCGATACGTGTGTGCGAACAACCCTTTCTTCCCCTTTTGTATGCACCGAATCTTTGAAGGCCAGTGGGGTGGGGGGCGCTGGTCGTGGTCCTCGCTGGGCTACCACCGAGTCGCGGTCAACCCCACCAACCATTTCTATTACACCAAGAAGCGAACCTCTCTTACGCTGGTCGCTTCCGGCGGCGGGGGGGGGTGCACTCATAGTCGTGCATGCCGTAGTCGTTGGACCATTGACCTCGCATCCCTACAACGCCGGGACGGAGCGCGCCGGGTTCGCACCGGACCATGCTCTCACATCACCAAGCGCGAAGCGCCGTGAGGCATTCGGCGAGTCGCATAAAGGGTGCGCTGCATCCTGCTAAGGGTGTTCGGCATCTTGTGCTTCAATTCCTTGCATACGGATGACAGCTGCGAATGACTGAATTTTTTGTCTGGTGCTATGACGCCCAGACAGTTATAAGCACTGTGTAACTGCCTCGAGGATGCTTAACCGTATTGACACAACGTAGTGCGATCATCCCCCTTGCGCGGAGTGAGGGTTCTCGACCCCGCACAACATGATCTACTCGACCACCACTCATGGTTTCCGCCAAAAAAAAAACAGAGGTGAACAAATAACGCGGTAACCTGGTTGCCGAGCTCACGAAGTGACTTGGCTTGTTTTACAACGTCGTTGCCAAGCGACGAAAACCCAACCCCGATCGCAAACACCGAGGGGGGGGGCTTGTCCTACAACGTCGTTGCCAAGCGACGAAAGCCCAACCACGATGGCAAAACACCGGGGGGGCGGCTTGTTATACAACGTCGTTGCCAAGCGACGAAAACCCAACCCCGATGGCAAACACTGGGGGGAGCGGCGGGGGGGGGGGGTTCCGAAATACCCGTACCCTTGCGTCGCAAACTAGAGGTTCGAAAAGCGTTTTCAACCCATCTTCCAGTGGAAAGACCTTGTTACTGGCCAAATTACGCACCTCGAGATTGTCAAGGAGCCCTGTGTAGTAGCCCCCCAAGCGATCTGCGCCGACCCCATCCGGCGCTCCCCGCCATGCCCCCACCAGCAAGCTGTCCGTGCTCCCTGAAGATTCCCCTACAGTTGAGTCTATGGTGACGTTACCCATGCCACCGCTTCCCCAGCCAGTTCCGCCCACGACATCGTAGCCCGATTCCACGCTCCCGCAGAGGGAGGAATTGACATAGGATCGTGCGTGAGAGGCGTTCCATTGCACTTGAACATAGCTCCATGCTCCTGGCTGCAACCCATCGTGCCGCGCGTGAATGTGAGGTGCAATCCATAAGCGCATGCATTGTTTTCGGTCTCCTAGGGGCGGGGCTAAAGAATAGGTGCATGGGACTCCTGTACAGTGCAGAGCTCGCAAGGATTGGGGTGCTTCGGAACGCATGCCCGCCAAAAGAGCAAATCTAGAGCGTTCCCTAGCATCTGTTTCGTTTTTCGAAGCATCGGTCCGAAAGAGGGTATGCTCTTGTCAGGTATGCAAAAATCCAAGTGTATTGATGCTGTCCAGACCTCAGATTGCATGTTAATAACTTCGTAATCATGAATCAATGGCCTTGGGAAGTTGGATCAGCGGCGGAAGTGACCCACTGAAGCAAGCCATCGCGATCTTTCGAACAGCACCAAGAATTTATCTGCAATTGGCTGCGGGAGCTTTGAACACCAGCACAACGGCGCCCTTTCAGCGGCCCGACGTCTAGAATCAGGACTCTCGTAGCAACAGCTTCTCGGCCCACCTCTAGATACGGGCACGACGCACTCCAGTCCAAGACATCCCCAAGCCTTAGCCGTATGGTGGTTTTTCGAGCAGACACATCGTGCGAAAAGGTGACGTAGAAAGCGGTGCCGTCCGATGTCCGCCAGTCGAGTAAGCCCGACTCGCGCTCCAAAACCTTCGGAGCGGGTTCCGGGTCGGTGGGAGGACGCGGGCAGCGGTTAGGCACAACTCCGCACCTCGCAAATAGGCGAATGGTAACGCATTTGCTCGAAAAATCGTGATGTTTTCGGGATGTTGGCGTGCTTGCAAACCATGGAGTTCACCACTAGTAGGTTCGATCCAGGCTCCCGCATCTCCAGCGTCGGTGGGTCCGGAGTCAAGTTCAAAGTCTCGGCATGTGTGCAGAGGAAAGGCGTGAAATCTACAACGACGTGAGGTCTATTCTACTACTTTAATTCCATGCAGCGGGGGTACATTTCTTAAGCGGCATGCTCTCATTCCGCGGCCTTGTTGGAAGCAGCGTCGAAATTCATTCGTTTTCGGGGTTGGCAGCTGACACGGTGGTACATATTCAAATAAAACCATACCACGCCAAACAAGTGCGAAAGCAGCAAACTTGGGAGCTGAGAAATAGAAGAAGCTCGAGTAACAAAGACCCAAGGCCAGGAAGCTTAACTCCGATCAGGAGTCCGAAATCAATGCTGGTGCTCCCGCGGTCCCCTCAGGTGGCACTGCTTAGTGCCTGCCTTTCCTTCCAAACCGGCGACCTGGGAGCAAGACCTCACCTGTGATGGGTTTAGCCACACGCCCATTGCCAGCTCCTCGGATTCCTCGAGGCCGGCGAGGATAACATTCAGGCATTGCTGCCCTTGTAACCTCAGGGCGTACCCGGCCCCTCCAGCAGACGGTGGAAGAGGAGCCTGCCCATGCAAAGAGATCGTCGGTAGCGGTGTCATTAGGGGTTCGTTCTTCTTCGATACGCACTAGTGTAAGGCAAAGATGGTTGTCGGGGAAAGAACATGAAGCAAGCCCCAACCAGATATACTTGGCAAACATCCTGCCCGCCCTCCTCCTACACATGCAAGATTTCAGGGACCTGAGGCAGAGGTCTCATGCTGCATCGTGTGCCTTCAGCGCGAATCGAGATTCTCAAGAAGAGTCAACATACTTCGGACGGAGTCAAAGCAAGCTGCTAAAGGTCGAAGGTTAACCGCCGAATACTTCGCAGTCGCACCTAGGTTATTTGACGTTACCTGTGCCGCACGGTAGAGGTAATCCAGCTCGTCCACACTCAGGGCCGTCCCGTACACGAACACTTCGTCCACGAGCCCTATCAAACCAGTGCTGCCGTCTCCCGCCGCCACCGCCGTAGGACCCGCTCCAATGCGAAACGCTGTCGAGAAAGGAGCAACAGCAGCGGCTGTAACATTGGTGTTGTCTCCCGATTGTTTTCTTGAGAATACCCCTCCCTCCGGAACCGATGTCTGCGCCGTGGCGGCAACGCCGTCCACGTACAGGGTGGCGTTTCCGACCTCTTGGTTGTACACCGCCGCTACAAACGTCCACCTGTTGGTTCCGTTCGGTGGACGGTTTTCGGGAGAGGCATGGCGATGGAAAGAGCGGAGTGTAATCCCGGTTTAGAGGGCGGCGTCGCGGATTTATTGTGTTTGCCGTCATCTCAGGAGTACTTTGCTAGGCTGTCACGATTGAGATTCCTTCGTTGGAGATATTGAGGGGCCTCAACCACGCTTCGCGAATGATCTACTTCCGGTAGAGGTGCCCAGGTCGACGGGGGTTTCCTATTTTTCAAGTTATTTCGACTTCAAACCTTCCAGTCAAGAAGGCCAAACCAACATCGGGTTGGTCTCTACGCCTGCTATTGCTCCAAGCGTACTCTTTTGTTTTGTCAACAGCACGAACGGACGTCACCTTGACATCTCCGCCGGCTGTCCGAGACCCAGCGCTCCGTTGCCGTCGTACCCCGTGCCGAGAGCCCACCCTGGTTTCCTGCTGGACGTGGTCTGCTGCTGTACTGCCTCGCTGTTGCCGCGGAAGTCGAGGGCTACGAAACGGCGGGCGATACTCTCGTCGCCATCTTCGTCGCTATCGGTCTCCGAGAAGAGATACCGAGAAGAGCCCCAACCAGCCCCGGAGGGTAAGCTAGATGTGTCAAAGGCCAAGACCTGATAGCCATGTTAGTTTGGGGGGGGAGATGTTGGTGATACCCGGCACTGTGTATCAAAATGTTCTTTGAGATGCCCAACATATATCCGTGTATGGTCAAAGAGCGACGAATAATGTAAGCAGATCTCGGGCAGGGAATAAAGAACAGACGCACGTGCATGTAGCCAAGAGACTGTGTGAGCTTAACATGCGTTCTGGAGCCAGAACAGAAATTCTACCCGTCTCCTCGCGTATTGAGCGTTTTGAACGATCGACGGTCGTCTACGTGGCAGCAGCAGCACTAGCTGGGGGAGCGGGGGTGTCCATACCCAGCTTACCGACCGTGGGACGTGCCATTGTCTCGTTCGTTCATTAAATCCGGACAATCAACGATGATGATGACCATAGTCGTGTTAGGATATTACATTCATAGCAGAGGATATTCGCTTGACCTCCTTCTCTACTGCTTCGACGCACATGGGCAGTTTCACGGTTTTCAAAGGCTGATCATCAGGGAAAGTCATGCCAAAAACAGCGCCCAACAACTAGCACCAGCACCCTGACCTACTGCCGTGAAGCGGACAGGAATCAATGGAAAAAGGACAACATTCACCTTCACCCAAGCGCCGATCGTGAGCTGCGGGAACGCTCGCGGGCTGACATCTAAGCCTGGTACGTCGAGGTAGTCGTGTCCACTGCAATAATGCGCCAAGCCCGCTACGGCTTCGCTCGTAGAAACCCCGCCATGGTTTTCAGCGTTTAGCGCGTCGCTGAACGAGAACACGTTTCGAGTGCGACATTTCGAAGAGACCGCGCGGAGGGGTGTCGAATGGTCATGGAGGAAGGAAAAAGTGATATGGTGGGCTCACCGATGTTTTGCTGTTGTCGCATTGACTACCAAGCACAATTTCGTAGCGGCCTCGTATTATTTTGGGTGGGTTGCATGTAAAGTGCTTACAGGGTTCAGGCTCCCGATGAACGACCAATGTGCGCAGTTGACGATTTGAACAGGAGCAAGCGCGTTGAGATCTAGAATACGTTGACGATGATAGTGTACGAGCGGTCTGCAAGAGCTTTCGACTTGCCTGCCAGAAGACAGCGCAGCCGCGTTCCCAGCGTCGCCATCGAGAGGATAGTATGCCACCAGATGCTCCGGTTGAACGAGGCTGTCAGCAAGACCAGTAGGTTGTTTGAAGACATTTCATGCCATCAACGGAATGCGCTGTCAGCAAGATCCTTAGTCTAGCTACACATCCGTGTGCAAACTTCTGTTCAAGCTATCGTTCTTGTCCCACTGCAGAGGACCGACGTACCGATACAGGTGTGCATACTTGCATCTATCTACAATGTGGTGTCACGGCATCAACTACCTGACATCCCCACGCAAAGAATAAATCCTGAATTTTGAATTTCAACCGCATTAGACTACAGCGAGAGGAGGTGAGGAGGTGTAGAGACTACTGCCGGCGATCGGCACGACCACGACCACAAGGACAACCTTCTAGGTACTGTCTTAGCTTGCAATAGTAGAAAATGTTATGGATGTACATGCATGCAGCACTAGGAACAGCAAGCTTCCATTATACACTTGAGTAAAGCTACTGGTGAGCCCGTCTCGCGCCCAAGACATGACGCTGATGGCCGTGTATTGGTCAGCTTGGTCCCCGATATAGCTTGGTCCCCGATAGGATCGCTGTTCCGTGAGGCCGTTCGCAATAACTGCAACGACCGCGCGTGACTCTGAACCAACAATGAAAAAAACCCGCAAGACGTCTGGGTTTACGGCTGAAATAAACCTCACCTGTAGCCTCGCGTGTAGGAAGTATCTGCCGACTGCACGGCTGCGTCGACTCCTTCTGTCCAGGACCGATACCGGCAGACCAGGACAAGGCCCGCAGCTAGCGTCCTCTTCAGCACCCCTCGCATATTGCTACGCCACTATTGCTATGCCGCAATGAGATCAAGTTGGATATCCACCCGACGCAGCGTAGTAGGGATTCACAGGGTCTTCTCGCTTACACTCGACGACCCCCCGCTTCTTCCAGGCAACGGCTGCGGCATCAGCGTAACTTCGCTTGGGGTTCGGATGCTCCCTCCCGCACACCGACGGGCAGTGGATCGGTCGTTGCGGGTAAATCGTAATATCGTGCCGCTCACGAGCAATGTCCTACATCAATGCCCGGGGATGCATTGCTTTCGTATCGCTGGCAGCAATGCTCTGCTGATACTCTCTATTCCGTACTCTATACACTGTTGTACAATGAAAATGCAATACGATACGACCAAGGATACACATCCAACACATCCAAACACCAAACGTCCGTCCCACGACGTGCTGAATGTCGATCTCCGGAGATCGCCTCTGCCCGATCAACGTCTAATCCAACCTGCGTCTCCCCTGTTGACCGACCGCTGTGGGCAACCAGCAACGCAGCCTCCGTTCTGGGCATATAGAGCGTGAAGACATGGCCAGTCCTGCCGAAAGCAAGGAGAAGGTGGGTAGTGTAGACGGCGGTGCGCTAGAGGAGAAAACTAACGAGGATGTGGCCGCGGGATGCGTGCAGCCTTCCTCTACAGCAAGAGCGGCTCCACCCGCTCCTGCTGCAGCTGCAGCCGCAGCCCCAGCAGCTGCTGCCTCAGCCGGGAAACCAGCACCTGGCGAAGAGCTGACCAAGGTGAGGCACAGGTTACATATCACTTTTAGGTCTTGAAGGTTGGGTAGCAGGCGAAGGTTGCGAGAGAGTTGATTGGCCATCGACTCCAGATGGCCAGCAAGGCGGTTGAACATGATGTCGTGTTGGAAGGTTTCCACGGTGCCATCTGCGGCTCTGCCCATTTCCTACTTTGCACATACGCTTGGTGCATATGTGGGCACCACACGCTTGCATGCATAGCTCCAGTTTAGGACCACCACGTGATAACACTCTTGAAGGCAGAATGCAAATGTGCCATATGGGAGACGCCTGTCGTTCAGAAAGGCGCACATATGCATATGTCGATACATCCAAGCTGCAGGCTACCTAGGGATGACTTCGGAAACCACCCCCCTTGTTGGAACTTCAATGGCTTGATAACCTAGGCGGCCAGAGGTTGTGTCCACCTATGTGCAGCAGTCGAACAGAGGTTCCCATTGCGATCGATACGTTGGACCCAAGCGTGCAAGCGTGCTTGTGTTGGAAAATCTATGTTCTATCTTGTACGTATCTTCACAATTTTTCCGCGTTCCGCGCATTCCACCGCGGCTGGTGCTCTCCGCCGTCGTTGCCGGCGAGTCGTTTGCCCCGAGCACGGGGCTTGCAAACGTTCTGTGACTCGATTACTTGTATTCTTGTGGGGACAAATATGTAACCACAGAGTTGCACAATAATGATCGGTTGGGGAAAAACGGGTAGCGACGTGGAGAAGGCTGCCGCGATTCATCTATGCGGTTGCCTTGCGCATGTTGGTGCAACGCGTATTTTGACGGAGTACAGTAGTGCGGCAACCGCGGGCGCATGATCATGTACAATCCCCCCAACAGGCGCTACAGCAGTTGTTCAGTATTTGAGGGGGCGCTTCCTCCTGACATGATTGGGTTGATGTTTAACTCTCATGGGTGCTCGTGCTCTGACGTGCGTGCTGATGCCGGGCATCGAGATGTTCAAGGGATGTTGTAGCAATATGTTGAAATGAAGACGCGTGGGGCGTGAAAACAGGAGTCTTCGGACGCCCCGACCCTGGATGATCGAACAAGACAGACAAATCGTACCTCAAGGTCCAGGGGGAATTTCCCCCCTTGACATACCTATCTCGCCCAAAACCCCCACGTGCTTCCTCCTTGTTCACATCACAGAGCAAAGTGGCACTGGGTACATACGCTGATATTGTGCTGGGCGGGCTTCTCGAACAACGATCTTTTCTTTCCCCTCGTTTTTTTCGTTTTGGGGCCACTACAGTCTCATGCAGAGCGCGAGCCAAAACCGAAAAAAATGAGGGGAAAGAAAAGATCGTTGTTCGAGAAGCCCGCCCAGCATATTATCAGTCTATATGTACCCAGTGCCACTTTGCTCTGTGATGTGAACAAGGAGGAAGCACGTGGGGGCTTTGGGCGAGATAGGTATGTCAAGGGGGGAAATTCCCGCCTGGACCATGAGGTACGATTTGTCTGTCTTGTTCGATCATCCAGGGGGGGGGCGGCCAAGACTCCTGTTTTCACGCCCCCCGCGTCTTCATTTCAACGCATTGCTACAAGATCCCTTGAACATCTCGATGCCCGGCATCAGCAGGCACGTCAGAGCACGAGCACCCACGAGCGTTGAACATCAACCCAATCATGTCAGGAGGAAGCGCCCCCTCACATACTGAACAACTGCTGTAGCGCCTGTTGGGGGGATTGTACATGATCATGCGACCACGGTTGCCGCACTACTGTACCCCGTCGAAAAACGCTTCGCACCAACATGCCAGAGAGCAAGTTATCCCCAAGCCGCGCAGTCGATGTCCCTGTAATCCAAGTCATGTTTCTTTATTTGCCTTAAGCGCTTTGGTTCGGTTTCATGATCTACGACGTCACGGCCATGCGTCCATCGACACAGGTTACGGTGTTCAACGTGGGCAAGCATGCCACCCTGGCCCAGTTCGAGAAGATCCTGAAGAACAACGGCGTCGAGTACAAGAGAGCGAAAAAGACTCCCTCCATTACTCATGGCACGCTCACATTCGAGGTATATGTCTGTAGTTATAGTAGTCCTAACGCGAGTTGGGGTGGCGTGTGCTGCGATTTGGCGATAAAACCATTACGCTACTGTAGTTCGCTGCAACATGGAGGCAACACGAAGTGTTGAAATATTGTATACCCACAGCATAGGCAGTTGAACGAGCGCTTTAGCATCTCCCGCCAGAAGTGCTGCGTCGCCCGAGAATTTTTTGTTCTAATTCGCACACGTGCACCGTGGTTACGTAGGCAACGACCGAGCCCCCCTCCCCCCCCCCTCAGCTCGTAGATGCCCCCC